TTTTAAAAAAAGGGTCGTTCTTGATATCAATCCACCAACTTATCAAACAATCGATTCACTCCAATCGATGCAGCAATCGATTCACTCCATAATTTAAGAAGTAAAATTATGTAAGAACATAATAAGAGAATAGACTTTGTTTGTTACCTGGAAGTGAAAAAGAAGGAAAATGAAATTATGAGAGAATTATTCTTAGAAAATATGCCTTACTCAAATTCAAAACAACAATACGTTTTAAAAACACATACAGCCTTAAAGAGATCTAGGTTGACAACTCCAAATGGCCCAAAACTGAGAGTTACTCGATTTTGCCTTTGGCTAATCAGTTGCATCAAGTCTTTCTGCAGCTCACATGGTAAATAGGTCCAATTGCTATCGTAGAGAATTTCGTCCAATCCATTATCCTAGGCATCAACCGAAATGTTAATCGTAAATTGATAGATTATTCGATATTCATGTGATCAGGATAAAATATGTTACCTCAATATCTTGGCCAGTCTGACATATAAAGTAGAATTGAACCCATGACATGAATGCTATGCCATAGCCCGATATGAAACCCATCTGGAAGGCAGAAAAATTGTTGGAAATATTCGAATTTTGTTTGTTCAAATTTGAAATTAAAGATACGAAAAGGGGTAGTTACACTGTATTGACAGAAAATTGCCATCGCAATCGAGTAAGTAAACAGAGCTGGTGTCACGAAGGTTCGCCAGTACAGGAAATCCCCAAGGCACGCTACAAAGCTGTGAAAATAGACAGTGTTTGGAATTCAGACATTCTTCTCAACTCATTTTCATTGCTAATTCGAACTGAAAGGGAATCAATCAAATTACTTACTCTTCATATTCGATCAATTGTATTATTATATCCTGGAAGAATACGCGAAGCTGTAGGTCGGATACCTCCTTTCTTTCACGCGATTCGAACAGTTCCTTGAGTCGGATCTTGATCAGAATCGGCAATATATTTATCACATCTCCAGCAATTGCCATTGCCATTTCCATGCCTATATATAAAAGCCCACCATGAAAAAAGACAATGTTCTGAAGTAACATATTCATAGCATATTCTTTTTTTGGGTCTTCTTCAGCGAACGGAATTTTCACTTCAATTGTCGTTGTTTGAACTCTTTCCATGGCGTAAACGAAAACAGGCCCGAGGACTGCACCCCATGCTGAAATAGCTTATAACGCTAGTCTGATGAGCGTTCTTTTCATAGATATATTCATTTGATCCGAGCAGACTTGATTATGCTCCGTGTGGTCATGATTGTCATGATAAATGTAACGACCAGAAAATGTTATCAGCGAATGATACTTATGCCGATCTTTTGAGAGCGTCGCCCATACAAATGGAATATACTGAAAGTATGGGTGCATTGGAAAAATAGTTGGAAATTTCAAACCATTTGTGTTTAAACACATTGAAAATAAGTCAGTGAGTCATGCATACTCTCAGAATTCAAAGGAGGCAAACTAAAAAACATATAGTGTAAAACATCAAATTACCCACTGTTTTTTGCCATTGTAGACAAAATGTCAGTTTACCTACATTTTTGGTGGAACGCTGTTCCATTGTATTAACAATGTAGGCAAAATGACGACATTTTGCCGACAATTTTAATACAGTGGAGGTAAACTGACATTTTGCCTACAATGGCAAAAAACAGTGGGTAATTTGATGTTTTACACTATATATTTTTTAGTTTGCCTCCTTTGAATTCTGAGAGTATTTTTGACTGAATACAGTCATTATCCCATGATCAAAATAAGTCTGCTTCTTTCATTAGACTTACACAAGAAATGATTCCGAAGAGGCAAGTGGACGGAAGGAACTTTACTATCTCCCCTTGCGTATTGTAATAATATGCGGTGTACATAACAAGCACGCCATAAGTGCCAACTACCGCATACGAGATGTATGAGTTCCAGTGAATTGCCTGATCTTCTTCAAACAATGGTAGGCCGAATGGTTTGAACGTTGTTCTCCCCATGATATATGTGTAGGACCACTTCTGATATGGAGTTTTGTGCCACCAATCAGTTCTGATGGTTAGAAAGCTTCTAACAAATTCGATAAACGAAAGTAGTTTCAATTCCTTATTCAAAACCATTTCATCAAATATGTTCGGGGAACAAATCTGGATGAATTGCTGGATTTATTGAAATACAAAGACGGTTGTGTTCAAGTGGCTTATTTTCAATATTGATTGAATATCACGTTCAAATGGTAATCTTTGCAATTCAAGTATTAAGTTTTCATCCGGTGTAATTTTATCACACGAACTTAATGCCAAACTTCAATACGAATTGTAATGATTTTAAATTAAAATTCCTTTTTTAATTTTTATTACTAATTCCGTTTACAGAATTTTCTTTAACAAAATTATCTAGAATGTTTATTTTTTCCTCTTCAGCAAATCTGCAACCATTCACGATCGCAACCCCAATGAATACTAAACTCGTATCTATTTGTTTCTATCATCAAAATATCTATTCGTTCGTTCGTATAAGAACGTCCACGTCAAATGCATATAAACGGGTTTCCATTAAAATATCATCGTAAAAGCTGTTGAAAAGGAAAATGGTATATTGCAGGTAATGATTATTTATTATTATATTAATTATAATTGAACCCGTGAGCATAAAAACGAATTACAAAAAAAAAATCGCCGATCAAAACGTAACATAGATTTGTCGGCGTAACATACCAGTGTCCAATTTGTTCCGAATTGAACGAGTAACAAATAGGTGTTTCGCTTTGTTCGGCGACGTTTTTATAAATCGTTTTTATGCGCACGGATTCAATTGCAAAATCAATGGAAGAAATGCGAACATTTGTTCATCGGAAAAAGTATGTATAAATAATAATAACATTTATTTATCTATATATTTATTTATTACGAAGCCTACATTTATGCCAATATGTGTTCACAGCAAGCTGAGAACATGCTGGTCAGAGACTCAATGCGGCATAAATTCCGCCCATGGTGCGTCTTTTGCAAAGAGAATACAGTATTTAGTGGGGGAGGATGATATAAAAGTGAAGCTTTCATACCAGAATTGGGTCCGAAAAACCATGGAAAAACCATGGCTATTTGAGCGGTTTTTAATTAAAATAACGACAGACAATCAGGAAAAAAAAATGAAGCATTCAAAATCCAATTAATTGTCCTTCTCAATTATTAAAATCAATTATTCCTCTTAAGTTTTCGCTGCCGTTGATTGCTTGGGTACATTGGATACATTCATGGAGAAAATGAAATATTCACAATTTCCTCCCCGAAGCAACCACCTGTTCAAGAAAAATGTGTCATCAAATTATGCGAAATATTGCACATGTCCCATGAATGATAGCCAATTCGTTCCAACGTCACATCGCAATTTGGACATTAATTTTTATTGGAACCTATCTATTATTATTTTTTCATTCAAACTTATTTTATTTCTTTTTTGTACAAAATTTCACATTCAATCCATATTTTGGATCTATCGCCAGGAATTTTTCGGATTGTTATTTTGAAAATAGCGACAACTTCTTCTTCTTTCTTCTTCTTCTTCTTCTTCTTCTTCTTCTTCTTCACATCTCTTTAGAATTGTTTTCTCATTAAAATGTGAATGCGTAAAACTAAATTTTATAGAGAGGTTCAAGAATATTGCCAGATGTTAATGTCTCAAAATAGTTTATTTAATTTTAAGCGTGTGACTTAATTGTAATTAGTTTTGGTTGAAATCCAGTCTAATTATTTACATTCAATTGAAGTGCACATATTTTTAGTGTTAATTCATATTCAAATTTATTTCACACGATATTGGCTCTAGATGTGATATAAGAATTGCATTCGAATGATTTGTTTTAGACTTTTCAAAAGTGTTAAATTGGAATAAAAGAGAAGCTAATTATAGGCGACATTATAACAGTGATAATGTTCTGCATTACAATTTTACATAAAGAATAAATCTAATTCAACAACTAATCGATCGGATCGAAACAGTTTCATGTTACCGTTCATTAATTTCAAATTAGTTTTATGGATCAGTGTTACAAGTTATTTATTCGACGAATTCGTCTGACAGTTTTAATCAACAGCATAGTCAAAATGGTACTTTCATTGATACGTGATTGACAGATTTACAATTACATTAAGCTCTACAGTTATTTTAATTGGACTGTAGCCAAAAAACACGATTTTGTATAGGGTGATTTAAAACTGTTCATAAACTGTCTTTGTTCATAGGTCAGAGTTTAGTTTAAATTATTTTTTTCTTCAATGATTTACTTTTTCTGTTCTAAAACCAGATCCAACCATCAATTTTAATTATAAAAAATCAATGAAATTTCATTTATAACATCTATAATAAACATTATCTAGTTAAGGAGTAAATTGGTAAATGTCTAATGTTGACTTCGTATGTAGAAAATGTTTCTGTTTGCCATTTTATAATGCAATCGACTTCATTTATCCCATATGCTATACCCTGTGCATACGGTCTATTGGCCGCTATTGATGCTATTTTCGATAGATTCTATTTTCGGTACTCATCAGAGACCAAGGCAGTCACTGTAAAAACCTGATCGAAGTGATCACACCGATTTTATCTTGTTTGTCACCGCTTTTATTACCAATAGAGACAAAAAAAAATGATTAAAAACATACAAATAACTAGACCGGACATAAATGTGCCGTTTGGTTTTAGCATAAAGGGTGGAATTGATTCGGAACAACCCTATCTTATTACAGCAGTATGAGTGACTATTGTTTATCTATTAAATTTGTGATATATAACAATAAAAATGACAGAAAAAAGGGGCAAACATGGTTATAAAATACTTGCATTTGCATTATGTAACATTCAATTTTATTTAGAAAATTCGAGTTTTTTTTTTAAATGACAATTGTAATAGAAAACATAGGTTCATACTATGACCTATCTCACTATGTATAATGAACGTAATTGGTGTAGTTTTTCGTTTGTAAATTTGATAAATTGATCTTCTTTTTTTTCCTGTTACAAGGTAAAAGTAAGCGGTATTGCTGAAGGTGTTGGATTGCGGGTGGGAGACGTTATAACGCATGTGAATGGTATCGATGTCGATCAGTTGAGCCATGAGAATATTTTTAGCAGTTTTACGACCCTATTGAACATGATGATTCGAATTTATCGCGACGGCGACATCGACATCGTCGAAGACGAATTAAACATGAAAAAAGCGTGTGATGTAAGGCAATTTCCCGATGCAATAAACAGCAAGCCAAATGACTTTGATCTGATTGACGATAGTAAAATCGCTGAAATTATATCGGCAGAGGCAGAACTTTTAGAAGATAACGTTATTGGGTAAGAGTGTGTCGAAAAGTGGAATGATTTTTCTCTCTGTCTCTCGTTCAAATTGGAAATTTTACTCTTTTTTTTCTCCATTCAGTGTGAATTTTCAGAAAATCATGCCAATGTCCAACATTTTTAAAAGCAGTGAAGTGCTCAAACATTTAAATGAAGAAGTGAAATTTGCAAACATTCGGAAAAAATACGAGGGCGAAAGAGAATCGACATTTTTACAAAAGCCCAATCGTCCGGTGCCCAAAGGAAAAAATGAGCAACAAGAGCATCAAGAATTGAATAGCACAATAGGTAAACAAAAATACACTATTTGATCACTTTTAAAATGCCCCTTTTCTCACTCTGATGCCTGGAAAATAATACACAATTTCTGATTATAACTAGGCCACATCGAAGAGACGAAGAAATTCATCATCTCAGAGATCGAAACCATAAACATTCACGAGGAAAGTAATAAATTTATGGAAGAGCTACATGATCGTGTCGATCTTGCCAGTATCGAGTTCGATGCCAACAACGACAATGACAACGATGAAGATGAAATGCCCGACTTGTTACAGTGCGAACAGAATATATCCGTTGCAAACACATGCGATTTAAACGAATGCAAAATAGAAAAGTGTACAATTGAAAAATGCCAAATCGAGCAATGTACAACGGAAGAGTGTACTGTTGAAGAGGAATGTAAAATTAAACATATTGAAGAATTAACGGAATCTATTGAGAATGATAGCAACGTCGCATCGAAACCACCAATTTGTGATACGAGAGATGTTGAAATGGAAAAACAATTGGAAATTGTTCGAAAGCAACTGGAAGAGCTAGCTCAATTGCCATCAACCATCCAGGCCACCATTGAAGCGGTGAAGAAACAAATTGCCGGACTTATCCATTTGAAAAATATGGAAATTCACAGCAATACCAATGCAGTGACATCAACAACGGTGCAATTGTCGGAAAGAATTGTCAATCAAGAATCGAAGACGGAAATTGAAAATGATTTAAAGATAGAAAATGTCGAAAATTCACTGGAAGAAAATGAACAAGCTTCAAAGAACGATCAAAAGCCAAAAGATGAAATTGAAGGCGATTCAAAGATAGAAAATGGACAAGATTCAAAGAAAGACACCGAGACAGACATTAATGGAGCGACCATTGAATATTCAGAGGCAATTTCCGTACAACAAGAATCGCTTGAATGTCAAACGATAGCCTCATGTCAATCAGATAGCACTGATGTAATTGCCGCAAAAACCGATGAGCAAATTGCAAAATTGAAACTTGAACAATGTTTCAGCGAGCAACGAGAACGATGGTTTAATGAAAGGAAACAGGTTTGAAGATAGGCAATATTTCATTAACTCATTCTAATTCTAATATTTTAATCAATAACTTCTTCATTTAAAACATTTTCTTCTATTTGGAATCACTTTCAATAGAAATTGCAACAACAGCTTTCAGAAAAACTCGTCGACGCAAATACATTGCCAACAAAAAGTAGAGATGGACCAAAAACGCCAAGTGAACGACCATTGGTTTTGCCCGGTGGACGAAAGTGGCGAAATGAACGTGATGCATACAATGAAGAGTTTATTGCCGAAACGATGAGTGCACATGCGGAATTGATCAACGGATCGACACTGGGGTAAACTAGCGAAGAGCAAACACACAAATTCATTCACATTTTGTTCATTTATCATCATTTTCAAATGTTCATTTTCTAAATAGGAGCTACGAAAGCTATCTTCTACCCTTTGATGATAGGTGATTTCATATATTCATTATTCCGTTTTCTTTTACACGCTCATTCTAAGTGTGTTGTTTTAATGTTAATTTATGAAAATCAATTTTTTTTTCTACATTTTTTTCTGCTCATATCAGAAAATTAGTCGATTTACTAATTGCATTGATTTTCTTATTCATATATATAGAGTCAATTTTCTGAAGTATAAAAAACCGGAGAGAGATTTATCGAATTTAAATAAAAGCGAAGTATTTAAAATGATTCACGATTCAGAGACGAAGCCAGCCAGTCGAATTTCCGAACGGCCACCAAAAGTCTTTTCAGCCGATGATTTTAAAAATTGATTTCACATATATATTGTGTCTAGAGTATATACGAAAAATCAAATAAACGAAATCATTATAGATACCAATTGAAATATGCCATTTTATTCCTTGACGATTGTGTGTACTATGTGTGTGTGTGTGTGTGTTGTATTTGTCACACAATCGAAAGGATTTTTTATTCGATTTTGAATACACAATAAGTTTAATTAGGCTCAAGGACAGGCACACCTATACATTACATTGTTTAAAAATATACACTTGCATACATGATTGAATTGCCAATTACAGTTCGATCGGCACAATCGATCGATCGAGATTGACATGTCATTCGGATTTTTGTGCGAGGTGCGTAGGTTGTGATCAAATGACAATTTTTTTTCACATCATCATCATCCGATTCAGTTGGTTTACTGCCATCAATCTGTGTAGTGAATGTATCTTCAAAGAAAATAGAAATCAATTTTAATCTAAATGGGTCTTCATGATTCGCGATTAGCCTATTATATACGCACAACAAGTTCATACAGTACATCAAGTTCAACAGCAATACGACAAAAATCTACCCATTTAACATGACCATACAAAATGTGTCGCAATTCCTCTACAGGAGCAGGTTTTTATAAGAAAAAAAGAGAGAATAAAATGAATTTTTGATCAGTTTTCCGTTTCGAATTTTCGGTTTTTTTTTCCACTTCGAATTTTTATTCAATGAAAAGTTTGTCTATTTTTCTATTCGAATCAGTAACATCGATGAAAAATACTTCGAAAAAATCCTAAAACAACCTTTACCCTTCGACAACACCGAGTATGAGCTACGAATCAGCGGAAGTGTTGAAACCGATACGCGGCTTATGTCATTTATTGATGTGTTATGGGGCTTTGAAGTCACTGGTGGATTTGATCAATATGAACCACTTACGGTTATCGATGTAAACGGATTTGTGCCCGTAGGTTGTGCCAACGATTTTAACACTGCTCTAAATATGGTTTTTGCTTGGTTTCGTTTCTTTTTTTCCCCTCGTTCTATATCCAATTTCAGGTTCGACGAAGTGGGTATGCATTCCGTGCTGGAATTCGAAAGGGTGACTATATAATTCGGATCAATAAAGTTTACACCGATGATATGACACTGATTGAAGCCCAACGGCTCATTCGAAAATCGGGCAAAAATCTTCGCATCTTCGTTAGAGGGTACAGAAAAGAAATATTCAATTTTTGTCGAAAAGAAGAAAAAAAAGAGAAGTCAAGTCTGAAAAACAAAAAAAAATAAACAAAAACAGTTCTTGAACGAACCGATCGTAAAAGAGAATTCGAAAACAAAGTACATGCATAATGAACTATTGTTATTTCATTCCAGGAATGATGATCCCGAAGAAATCGATGAATTCACTGTCGACTTTTGGTTCAAACGTAAGCAATTTGCTTTCAGTCATCATTTTCACTTTGAATTTTGGTTTTAACTGCACATTTTCTTTTACAGCCAGAAAGAAATTTCCACCCATACACGTTGTAAGTTTTATGATCCAAAACAGATTATACCTATGTCTGACAAATAATATGCTAACAATCATAAAAACGAACTATCTCTAGGTTAATAAATGGCCAGACGCTTTCAATTGGAATGATCGTAAAAAACCCATATACAAGTAATTAGTTGCATTTTTTTTCTACCTTTTTCGATACCATATTTGCATATATATGCATACTAATTGCTTTCAAATTGGTCCGTTTTTTTTCCGTCCATGTATAGAGAGTCAAATTGTTTTATGGTCCCAAGCAAAGCAGAAGAACATCACAAAGAAGTGCTTAGGAATACTCGTAAACCAATCATACCTACGGAGGATACTGCCAACACTGTAACCGAGGTAATTTGAGAACCACAACAAAAAAGAATGAGAATGATTTGATGAACAAGAATGATTTTTGGGGATTACAGCAACTGTCTCCGCTTGCTGCTGCTGCTGATAAAGCAGAGGCTGATGCTGCCGCCGCTGCTGCTGCCAATACTCAAGCCAACACTACAGACACAATCACTAATGGGACGCCGTCGGTTGAAGAGAAATTAGATTAGACAACATGACAACTGATTTAAACATTTTATTTTTCAATGAAACTTTTCCCCCCGCAACAAAGAAACATTCAATAAAAATTTGACTCTTTTTTTCGCAATATGAATATGAATTTGACTCTCAATTGTTTGAAAATTAGTATAAAAAATGTTTACGCTCTGTCTTTTAATATCCGTTAAATTCCTTCCCGCAGAACGTAATTTAAATTAAAAAAAAAAATTTGAACCAATTCCAGAAGAAACAATTATTTCAAAATGCTTCGAATCATGTAGTTTAGAATGCCTCCGTGTTTAAAGTAAACCAGATCAACTTCGGTATCAAATCGTGCAGTCACTTCAAATGATCGACCATCATTAATCTGAAAATGGAAGAAAATAGTTTTCATAATTTTTATAGATCAATATGCGGTAAAAAAAAAATATTGGAACGCATTTTTCCCCTTTTCAATTTGATTTGGTGGATTTTCTCGATATTTCATCCACAGCAATGAGTTGCATGTACAAAAAGTATCAAATAAATGTTTAGGGCTTCAAATGTGATCAACTTTTTAAAAATAATCACATTTCCTTGTACCAGGAGATCATTTATTGATCAAGGAACACGTTCCATGTCACATTGATTGCTTCAAAGAAGTTGTGATGCACTTATTTTGCGGTTTTTTTACCGTTTTTCCGGTCTATAATGCCAACGGTGACGGTCGACAATGTACGTACGCATTCAAAATAATTCAAGTTTCCATTTCGATTGTAAATGTGTTTCGCTTTGCACTTAAAAATGAAAACGTTGCGCGACGGAAACGTACACAGCAATGAAGAATAATGCAAATGTACAAACATTTTCGTAATTTATTCGTTTGACTTATTTAGTTATTTAGTATGATAGTTGGCGGTGACGAAGAAGGGAAAAAAAACACTTTACCTCAACTTTGATTGTTTGTCCAGCTTTATAATCTGATGGGATTGAAATGTTGTATGTTTCGGTGCCGTTCAAATTCAATGTTTCAGCATTTTGACCTTCTAGGAATTGTAACGGAGCGATGCCCATGCCAACCAAATTCGATCGATGAATACGTTCATAGGATTCGGCAATGATAGCACGAATGCCAAGCAAATAAGGCCCCTATTATGAAAACAAATGCATAGAAAAATCATTTTGAATGATTCACATGTGGATACATTTGAAAAGAGTTTCAATTTGATCTTATTTTAACGAAATGAATAAGAATCTAAATTTAAAAAAAAAAACTCAATATTACCTTAGCCGCCCAATCACGGCTGCTGCCCGAGCCATACTCTTTGCCAACGATTGCAATTAATGGAACATCTTCAGCGCGATAACGCTGTGCACAATCGAATATGTCCATTTCTTCACCGCTCGGAATGTATTTCGTAACTGGGCCACTCTTCGACACCAATTTGTTTTGTAATCGAATATTGGCGAATGTGCCACGGGCCATAACAGCGTCATTGCCTATGAATTTTCAGAAAAAATTCAATTAGTTATAACAAAATCGGAATGTATTTTGAAAATATTTCTGTTGATTAAATTATTGAATGGTGGAGCTCTACCTCTTCTGGAGCCATAGCTGTTAAAATCTCTTGGGGTCAGTCCACATCCAGCCAAAAACCGTGCAGCCGGACTGTTTCTAGCGATTGAACCGGCCGGTGATATGTGATCTGTTGTTACCGAATCGCCCAACAGCAACAATACTCGGGCACCGTTTATCGGTGTAATTGGTCCGATATCTTTTGTCATTCTCTCAAAAAATGGTGGCTGTTTGATATACGTAGATTTGTCATCCCATGGATAGAGATCACCATCGGGGAACTCAAGCGTTTGCCATGAACTACTGCCCACTTCAATTTTACTGTAAACTTCACGGAACATAGCTGGAATAACGAATTCATTTTCAACATCTTGAATTTCTTTGCGTGATGGCCAAATGTCACGCAAGTAAATCTCTTTTCCATTCGCATTTTTGCCTAGCGATTCCGTTTCAAAGTCAATATCAATGCGACCAGAAATTGCGTATGCAATGACCAACAATGGACTTGCAAGGTAATTTGCACGAGTGTTTGGATGAATTCGTCCTTCGAAGTTTCGATTTCCGGAGAGTACACTACAACATACCAATTGATTTTGCTCAATGGTATTGACAATGTTATCATCTAACGGTCCCGAATTGCCGATACACGTCATACAACCGTAGCCAACGATATCGAAACCGAGTTTTTGCAATGGATCAATGACATTCGATGCTTGTAAGTAGTATGTGACGACACCGGATCCGGGCGATAGAGATGTTTTTATGTAAGGCTTTACAGTTAGGCCGGCTGCAACGGCTTTTCTTGCCAAAAGACCAGCACCCAACATTACTGATGGATTTGATGTATTCGTACATGATGTTATCGCTATAAAATGCATGAAAAATTATTAGAATTTTGATTGAATGTCGTTTTTTTGGATTCAGAAGAAAACAATTTCTTGAACAAAAAAATTTCGTAAGAAAAATATGTTCTTAAAAAAAACATCATCGTTGTTGAATTCACATCGACAATAGTTTGTTCAACGTCAACAATTAAAAGTGCCTACCTGCAATGACAACGCTACCGTGCTTCAATGTGTACGAATTTCCATCGGTCCATGTAAACGACCCAGTCGCCGGAATTGCCGCTGGACTAAGTTCAAATCCTTTGAAACCAATCTAGAAGTCGAATTTGTTTTGGAAAAAGACAATCAATTAGCATATATGCATATATGTTTCATTGTTCTTCGAAGAAATGTTGCACGCCGACAACTGCTATTCAGTAGGTAGACAAAAGCAAATTTATGGCGAAATATGAACTGCACATTTATGACTCTCGATATTTTGAAGCTTAATCTCTACTTTTATTGCAACTTTCCTGAATTATGCTAATTTTTGTTGTCGTTAGTGATGCGTATGCAGAAAATTTCTTTATTTCTTCTTTGTTACATTTGTCTATTTTCGACACATAAGAAATACTTATTCTCGTTTTCTTCAACACCAAATGACCGAAAAAAAACAGGTAATTAGGTAATTAGGAAACAAATGCATGATGAACTGAAAAACATGTTTTGGTACCCAAAAAAATTGTGTCTCGGTCTGAAGTGCATTCCTAATGATATGCGTGTGTGTGTGTCTCTATGCCCACTCCCGAAATCGAATGATAATCCATATCGTTTTATGAAAAACAAATGGTATATAAAGACGGTTTGAAAATGGAAATAGTATCAGTCATCTCCTGGCATACAACATGAAATGTTCATATCTCAGTTGTGCTCTAGGATTGATCGTGATAGAGTCGTGTGTGTCTCAAAAGTTCAATAAATATTTTTTTTTACGATTTTTTCTTTCGGTTGATTTATGAATTGATTTTTCGAAACAAAAACAAAATTTCCACAACTTGTCAATAAGTTGAACATTGGTTTATACCAGGGCGAGTGTCGGTTAAGTAGCTGTCGTATTCGTGTCCAGTGACTAGATCGAACACTCGCGTCTTGTGTGTCATAAATATCCAACTGCATCACTTGGTTTTTTGTTTGTTTCTTCAATTCGCATATCGTCAACGACACATTTTTCAAACACAAAGTACAAAAGTTATCTAAGTAAAAGGAACTCCCGGTGTGATATGTTTCATAAAATAAATCGTATCACAGCTGAAGTTACCTGATTATTAGATAACTCGACACTTCAAAATTGCCATCTGCCATACGGTTTGCACCGAATTAGAGAAGAAAAGTTCGCGCTAAAAAATAGTGTATATTCTTTGGGAACAGTAGCTGTGATGTGTTGATTTAATGGTACCTATCACAGTCGCTATTTCTGTTAGAATATCCATTCAAACTTCCTTATCACCACCGTCAGCACACCAACAACAAATGTAGCCTGCAGTAGCAGCAGTAGCAGTAATAATAACAACAACAGACAAAAAAAATCGCAAAAATTGTTCAATCATTGTGCGATGAACAGTGTTCAGTTGGTGTCATTAATAAACAACATCACTGGGCTTTGTTTGTCGCACAACCAAACAATACAACTGATTTAAAGCCACAACTGACGTCCGAATCATTAAATTTGAACCAGAAGCGCCGATTTCCATCCACTTACTTTGTTTGTTAAACAGGTTCGAAAATCGTTTTGGACATCTTTCACGGCAATCCGATCATGTGGTCGTTTCGGTCCCGACACCGACGTTACAATTGACGACAAATCCAAGGTAACAACCTGCAATCATTTGACAAAACAAATTTACATTTATCAAACACATTTGTATTAACACACTCATTGCGAAAGCCGCACATTATACCTTTGTGAAGTGGGGATCTTGCGATTCATCGTTATAGTCCCGGAATTGTTGTGTGGTTTTTAGATATGTCCGGATCAATTGAATTTTCTCCTCTGGCCTATCTATATTACAAACAATTCGAATGAATATTTTTTCACCATGCATTTTGATCGAGTTTAAAATAGCTTACTGGTTTGTCGAAGGTATTTCAATGACATTTCATCGATTGGGAAATATCCCACGGTGGCACCATATTCTGGGCACATATTACTTATGGTTGCTCTGTCAAAAATAATTGAATTTACAAATTTGCCATGAACAATTTGGAATCGTTTATTTTATATAAGAAATATACCGATCAGCAATGCTTAGCTCGGCAACACCTGGCCCGAAAAACTCAACAAACTTTCCAACAACTCCCAATTGACGCAGATGCTTTGTGATGGTCAAAACTAAATCCGTTGATGTGGCTAACGATGGCAATTGGCCAACTAATTTATATCCAATAACCTCCGGCAAAAGCATTGTAATTGCTTGTCCAAGCATTACTGCTTCGGCTTCAATTCCTCCAACACCTATTCGTGAAAAAAAAACCAAGAGATTCATTGGATTTGATGAATTTGAGGCAAAAAGTGATTCTGTTCAAAAAACAAAACCGCGCTCACCCCATCCTAATACACCCAATCCGTTGATCATTGTTGTATGCGAGTCCGTGCCCACCAAACTGTCTGGATACAAAACATCACTATCGCTGAAAACAACTCTGGCCAAATATTCCAAGTTCACTTGATGCACAATGCCCGAACCAGGTGGAACGATTAGCATGTTTTGGAACGCTTTTGCTCCCCATTTTAAGAATTTAAATCGCTCTTTGTTTCGCACGAATTCCAAATTTTGATTTTTATCGGCTGAACCTTGTTCGCGAGCAAAATCCACCTGAACGGAATGATCGATGACCAAGTCCGAGGGGCAAATCGGATTAATAAGATTTGGATCACCACCGAGTTTTAGCTAGTGTTGAAAAATTTGGAATTAATTATTTATTCATCATATTTATTAATGAAATAAAAACTGAAAAAAAAAAATTGAATAAAAACAATCGAACGATTCGTTGTATGAATTTCGTACCACAGCGTCTCGCATTGCAGCAAAGTCCACGACGGCTGGAACACCGGTGAAATCCTGTAGAATTACACGAGCCGGCTTGAATGATACTTCTGCATCGTGCGAATTTTCAGGGTTTCCTTTCAATTCTTTCCATTTCAGAATTCGTTTCACATCCTGTTCGGATACTTGGAAGTTATCGCAGTTTCGAACGGCAGACTCCAATAGAACTCGAATCGAAAATGGAAGTTCATCTAAAAATAGATTTCGATTCGATTAGAATAGTTAAAGCCATTCTTGACAAGAAGTGTAATTCTTTTCGCACATTGATAACAGTAAATTGGGTAGGAATTTCATACTAAGAAAATGATTCAAAATTTTCTTCAAATGGAAGACGAAAATTATCATCAAATTCATTTTTTCTTCTAACCGTCAAATATGATCTTTAAGCTTGACAAGTTCTTCCGTTCATCCATTGTCATTGACATTGACCGATTTTGTTCATCCTCATTGACATTGAACAACTGTTATCATTCTAACTCACGACCAATTTGGTTATCAGTGTTCTTGAAACATATATTCGACTTACCGTAAGATTTTCCAAATGATGCAATATCAAAGTATTTATAGGAAGTTCCATTAAAATCCAACGATTTTTGAAGATTCTGATATGGATTTGCACCTGTCCCAATAGTCAAACATAAAAAATCATTCTTATTTATCTTCAACAACAACAGCTCTTATTGATCGTTCAAGCAATTTTTTTCTTCAATTAATCGTTGTAGAAAAATTGTGAATAGAAAATAGTTGATTTTGGCAAAGAAATTAAAAAAAAAAACCGCCAAAAACTCTAGAATATATCAAGAACATCCCCTTATCTCCCTGAGAAAAAAAATCTGTCAAGGTTACATTGGAATGGTTCGTTCATTTTGTTCAACTTTCTTTCGAAAGTGCGTCGAAATGTAAGAGGTCTACGTGCAACTTTTCATACACACACACACACACACATTAATTCGAACCGGGCAAATGGACTTTGATAATGAAAAATCAGCTGTGTTCAACGTTGTTGTACGTCGATTTTCCTTCTTCTTTCTTTTGTTGTTTGTGTAAATGTAAATATTTGTAGAAAATATATAATTAGTCTGTCTGCAATTTATGTGTGAACATTGACCTCTTCGTTCTTGTCCAATTCTTCTTTGCATTTTCATTCGGCCATTGTAAAATGTCGGTTTCAAAGAGAAAGTAGCACGCTCATGGGTAGCGCATTCAAATTTTGTTGACATTCAAATGTATTGACAAACTGAATACCATATCATTTCCTTTACGAATGAATCGAATTCGGCATAGAATGAAATTTAAAGGAAAAAAATTAAGATTTATTGAAAAATTTGTACATACTTTACGAAACGTAAACACAGAGAATGACAGACAGACACGTACAAATATTTTCCGATGAAAAAAAAAGTGGTTTCATTTCCAAAATGCTCAAAACCTATATCCGAAATGGTATTTTGATCACAGCACTACGAGGGCACTGACACCATCGTATTTTTTTTTGATGACAAAATGCATGTAAAATCAAAATATCGCGTAAAACTTCACCAAATGGAAGAATTTCCTTTGGAAACAACTAGAAAAATGGCCAAAACTCAAGTATTTATAAAATAATCGCAAAAAATGGATCGATCACCAGCAAGTTTAAAAGAAATTAATACCTTTCACTTCCATTTTTGTTGCTTGTAACAAAACAGAACTTAACAGAAAAAAGAATCGCTGATCAAAAACCGTGTACGAAGTCACTGTGCCTGAACTTCAAGCAATACAAAAACATTTATGCGATGGAATCAGTGAAATTGACGTTTCAACAAGTGTTGCAATCAAGACATTTGCATCAGTATATCAATATGTTCTACATACGATAAAATACGTCCATTGAAAATAAAGCAAACCATAAATCGTGAATAATCTTTTTCAATTTTTTTTTTTACGTTTCTTATCAATCTATTTTTTTCATTTTTCCAGAAAAAAAAAGAATAAATTCCCCAATTATTTGAATATTTAAATCCAATACTACAATTTAAGCTGTCAAATACGTCAAACCTAATCAGCAGAGTGGAAGAAAAGAAAAGAAAAACATGTGCAGTACTAGATTTGTGCCTGACATCCATATCAATCCACACATAATGCATTTATGTTGATTGAAATGCTTAAAAGTTACCAGTTGTTGATAAATATTATTTACAATTTAGATTAAATTAAACGAAAGTTGATAGTTTTAAATGAAATACCAATTAAGTAAGACAAATGGGCTACAATGTAATTGTATGAAAAGTGATGTGACAGTGAGGCTTTATTGTGTAATTATGTAATTCACCCAGTTCAACATTATCGATGAATAACACTCGAACACTCGAGAAAGAAGAGAAAGAAAAACACATTACACCACCTAGTCATCAAACAGTTTATAAATGGAATAATACATTCGCTTGACGTATGATTGAAAAATAGAGAAAAATCACAGAGAATATATATAATTAGGAAATTCACAGAGCAATGCTGTTGGAAAAATGGATGTTCAACCGCCACCGCCACCTTTTGTTAAAACAATCGAATGGGATATGATGAACAAAAGTAAATTCATTCCCTTATCAATGCTAAGTTCGTTTTGCGTTCGTTGTTGCTTTTATCCTCTAACGCTGATCAAAACTCAGCTGCAAGTGCAGTTTAAGAATGATGTGTACAATGGTTTGTTTGATGCAGCGTGTAAAATTTACAAAACCGAAGGAGCTCGTGGTTTGTACAAGGGCTTTTGGATATCATCGGTGCAAATTGCATCCGGAGTTTTTTATATAAGCACCTATGAAGGTGTGAGGCATTTAATGACACAATATGGCTCGGGTGATAGAGCCAAAGCACTGGTGGCCGGTGGCTGTGCCTCGATGGTCGGACAAACGCTTATTGTTCCCTTTGATGTGATATCGCAACATGCAATGGTCCTTGGTATGGGCGGTGCAAAAGCGAGCAAATCCTTACAAATCAATCCACTACAAATTAAAACAAACCAAAGTCGAATGCGTATCGCTATTGATATCGCTACTGCAATACTACAAAAAGATGGAATTAAGGGTTATTATCGCGGCTATACGGCTAGTCTGATAGCCTACGTTCCTAATTCGGCGCTATGGTGGACTTTTTACCATTTGTATCAAGGTAAATCGTCGTTTGCTTCTTCCATCGAAGAGAACTGAGTCAATTTGAATTTGATTGACACTTGATCCAATCCAACCAATCACTTTATTCAATCATCTTTCTTCTCTCTTTCACCAGATAATCTGCTGAGCGTTCTACCCTCAAATGTATCACATTTATTTATTCAGTGCGTCGCTGGTGGTTTGGGAGGATTCACATCTACCATCATAACAAACCCGTTGGACATCGTTCGGGCTCGGCTCCAGGTAGTGTCATTCAAATCAATACGCCACTCAAGTCGGGCAATTTTCAATTCCAATGAATTTTAAACCGATATGCATTTATTCCCATCGTCACAGGTTCAACGTCTTGACTCAATTCGATTAGCGTTCCATTTGCTGTGGAAAGAAGAACATATGCATATGTTCTTCAAAGGACTTTCTGCACGCTTAATACAATCGGCTGCGTTTTCATTCAGCATTATATTAGGTTATGAGACGATAAAACGAATTTCCGTTAATGAACAATATAAACATTTAGTGAAGTGGTAGCCTAATTCTTTTTTGTTTGTTTGATTGTTTGTAGATAAAAAAAAAATATTATGATTTCGGAAAATAATAAAATTTCACCATATTTATTTTAAAAAACGAGTTCAGCGTCCATTGATCAACGAAAAAAATGCGATAGCAAGTCGATGAAATATTGAACAAATGTAGAGTACGTCGCTTACAATTAAAACGCTTTTTTTGGTTTACAAATTTACATTCCCTCTCATCAATTCTTTGAAATTCAATCATTGAATGGCCCTGATTCGAGTAATTTGTCTATAGTTTAGTGGGAAATGTTGACAAATACAGAATTCCTCTATTGGATAGTTGTAAATTGTTTGCATTTGAAGCTTGCATAGTTAGGGTAATGAATATGTTCGAAAATTTCATTTAATACACATTTGACCACATAAAAAGTTTAAAATATCACAAAAATTGAACTCAATAACCAACCGTCATATATCCTTCAGATTATTTATAGCATGTATTTTAACGACTTTGACCACATTTTGAATCAGTGATAAATAGCCACAGTCAATTATAAGTTGATCAAAATAATTCCCAGCGTTTGACGAACTATTTTTCTGAAATTTTCGAAAATGCGAAAAAAATGGAAAAAATATATTCACTTATTGTCCAAACTCACCCGCAAATACCTAATTTCAATTGGGAATTTACTCGGATTTACATTGAAATAATGAATTGGATTTACTTTAGAACAAAACATTTATTTAAAAGCCATTTCATATAGATTATTCAGTGATTTTTTGTCCTCGGTGATCTTTTTTTTAAAGAAAGAATACCAGGCGTATTATTTTGCTTTGTGTCTACCAAAAAATACTCAATATTATAGATCAATATGAAAATAATATCGATTATTGATTTAGCTTTGGAGTCGACCCAATTGTGACATCATGTTCAAGAAATCATTTCAGGTCGATGTAAAAATTGGTCAGAAGATGCAAAAACACCATTTCAAAAAATTTATCTCGGAAAACCTCAACCTAGAACTCATTTTGATCGATTTATTGCGATTTTTCTAAATCTTTTAATGGCTTACCAAATGCTAGAAAAAATTATTTCGATTATTATAATAAACCAATTGTTAACCTACCTTGTATGAGTCCAGCTAATGCGAATTTGAAGACTTAGAACCGAATTTCAAATTAAAAACTGATACGCTGACTTTTGTGTGTATGTGATGAAAAGCATTCTAACGATTTTCAGAATATGAAACACGACTTCGTTTATTACATTTACATGTTTCCATCAACGTTGATCGAATCGTCGTGAATCTTGTTCATGTGTTTGTTTGTTTTTTTCTTTATTCTTCATTCTTTCAGCTGTGATATAGCCAAAGATAGTATTCGTTTTGTTTTTCATAAATACTAAAATTTACTCAATATTTGGAGAATGAACATGTGTATGATAATGGCATATATATATATATATATATAATTGTTGCAATAAGGATTTTCTCACGTTTTTATCTTAATAAATTTTAGTCATATGTTCTTCTTGCTTGAATCACTCAATTTTTCGGGTACTGTACGCATTGTTTTCTGGATGAAACACATCCGAATGTGATTCATCAGAGCGGAATAAAAATTCTGTTCCAATCTTATGAAACCCATTAGTGCATTTCAGTTTTATTCCAACATTTCATATCGCCTTTTATCGACTTTGTGATTTTGTGTTGCTTGTACAATTAAATTGGATGTTAAACTTCCGTGGCGAGCATGTGAATGAATCATTGACAAAATATATAAATAGCCCAAAATATCCATATGACTAATCGAGTTCTCTTATCTGTACGCTTGAACAGCTGGACAGTTCCTATTCCATAGGATTTGGCAATACTATCTTCTACTTTAATTGAATTTTTATCATTTTTTCTTTAATTTCAGATTATTTTGAGTGTGAAATAAATCTGAAGAAAAAAAAATCTTGAGTTTCACACAAAGTTTTGTCCATATTTTTAAAACTAATGCACAATTTCCACAAGTTTTATTTACTGACTTGTGTCTAATTTTATCTAAACTGAAACCGTTTCAGAACGAGTGCGGAAAAGTCCTCAAAAACACACAAAAACTGTTCAAGTAATAACTAATATGAGATATATGTTGACTGCTTGAAATGTGAAATAGGAATTAATCATCGGACGCTTTTAATTCGGATGCCCATACATGCTGTGGCCAACCAGTACGTCCTTTATTTCTTCGTGGTTCAGTCAAGAGGGTCTGAAAAACAAACAGAGGAGGAAAATTATTTTATTTTACCAAAATTAAAATCAAATCTTACATTATTTTACCAAAATTAAAATCAAATCTTACAATTAAAACGCTTTTTTTTACAAATTATGTAGCCCATTACATTCCCTCTCACCAATTCTTTGAAATTCAATCATTGAATGGCCCTGATTCGAGTATTTTGTCTTTAGTTTAGTGGGAAATGTTGACAAATACAGAATTCCTCTATTGGATAGTTGTAAATTGTTTGCATTTTTAGCTTGCATAGTTAGGGTAATGAATATGTTCGAAAATTTCATTTAATACACATTTGACCACATGAAAAGTTTAAAAAATCACAAAAATTGAACTCAATAACCAACCGTCATATATCCTTAATTGATTCCCCATTAATCTATCATTTTCTTTTCCATTTGCATCTTCATGCTGAGCATGACATGCTCCCATCATATGATTTCTATCTAATCTTTTTGACCTTCTCTATCAATGACAGACTATCATACCGTCCAACACATGAGCATTATTCACTTTGCTCATTTCCAAATCAATAAAAAATACGACCAAATTTGCTTGTAGACTTGACTTACTCATTGTAATGTGGTTTTATTAATCATGAGAAGAGGAGAAAAAAATTGGCTGAGTTCAAAAAAACGTGGCAATCGCCTGTGCTCGTAACCGACCGAATCACAAAATTACACCCAACCAAACATGAAAGTGCAATTTTCTTAATTTGTTTGAAGACAAAAAAATGGGATTTTTTTTTTCTCTTCATCCACTTAGTGTGGAAAGTGTTTATTCCGATAACTTGGAGAAATAAATTAAATTAAGAAACATCTGGTTTTTGTGGATGGTTTAATGAGCGTGTGTATATGTTTTGCAAGACAACTATATATAATAGAAGCAGCGATGCGTAAATTTATATCTGGGTTCTATATTCATTCTTCTATTGACGTTGAAATTATTTTATTATTGGCACGAGCATCAAACCGTCGCCCGGCTCTGGCAAGTCACGCCCCTCGATGTCTTCATACACACACACACACACACACACCGCAAATGATACACTTGACGTACGCCGATATTATATAATCCATTAGAGCAATTCACACCACGCAGCACAATGAAATTGTCGAAGTGCAACCGCAATTCATATTTATCATTTGGGCACTTCAATAGCATTTATCGTCGACGACGACGATGACGACGGTGACGATAACAAGGGAGCGTTTATGCAAAGAGGGAGTTTGTTTTTATATGCTAGCCAATTTCATTTAAGTCTTCTAATGTTTGGATAATTCAATTTGCAACCATAAATGAGCGATGATTAACTTTGATCTAATTATAAAGGCATTGCATCCCTTCGCTTCGATTGCATATTAAGCGGTTAAGAGTCAATATTACTCTTTATTTAATCACATTGAAATCATTGGCTAGTCTTAATGGGACTAGTACTCGATTTTTCACACCATATGCATTTCAATAAGTAGCATGCTTCAACTAACCTGTGCTTCTAGTTTTGCCCGACGCTCAGCATTTATTTTGCGTGACGATGGCACCAATTCCGCACGAAATCCAATTGATGGATCCTGGTCGCCTCGAAGCACCCCGTTTAAGTGGTTTATATAGCTAGTGGCCAATCGTAACGTTTTTATCTGGTAAGAATAGATTTGGTGAGATTGGTTTGGATTAGTAAATTCATGAGAATTAACTTATTCGATATGATACGATGGTAGAGAAAAGACTCGCGCATTTTTTTGAAATACTCGCGCTTTCTTTTTTTATATTTGAATTTGTATAAAAATTCAATTTTTACAAAAAAATCCTGAACAAATCAAAACTACATCAAAACTGCACAGTAAAAGATGCACAAGAAGATGAAAAATGCCAAAATACTGCCGCGCGAAGAACTCGTAAAAAAGATTTTGGTTGAAATTCGAAGAATACCTTTGATAGTTTTGTGTCCGATGGTACATTTGGTATGCAATCTCTCAATTGTGCGAATGATGTATTTATGCTCTGTGTTCGACGACGTTCTTTTTTGTTGGCTGTTGTACGACGCTTTGGCATCCGCGTAAACGGCATAGTAGTTCCGTCATTTTTCGTCGTTGTTCCATCGTAGTAAAATCGATTATAGTTTTCATCGGATGGAATATTTGGGTCCGTTTTGAAAATTGTGTCCGTTTGACTGTTGAATATTATCCGATGCGGATTTGTTCTATTGTCTAAGGGTAGATTCGATACGTTCGGCGAGAGTTCCCGATAATTGTACGCGGAATCGGTGCTGCACGGTGAAGAGTTCCAATAAAATTCTTCCTCTGTATGAAGATAAAATAACATTTTGGCTGGGGTTATATTGTGAATGAGGTAAATTGTTGACATGAAATGTTCTAACTAATTCAATCTTTTGTCCTCGATGTTTTTTGTTGTTATTATATTTAACTCAGTTAAATTAACTGTAGTTACTCCGCACGAAAGAGTTATCATTTCATATGGAGTAGTCAAAAATGATAAGCTTCAACGGATAAGTACACGATTTTTGCATGACAAGTCATTAAATCATCACTATTTTTGGGCTCACTCTTTTATCATTGTCATAAAATGGATCTCCATTTCTGTAGAAGATTAGTAATTTCTCAATAGATTTTCTTCTTAAATCTTCTGTTATTTGTAAATTAAGATTTGGCTATGCATATCATTTGTTATTCAACATCTGCATGTACATCATTGAGAATGAAGTTGATCAACTCAATCAAAATTGGATTCTTAAAACAAAAGACGTATATGTTCATGGTATCATGTTCAGGCTTCGATGGAATATCGTCTTAAAAGCATTTTCAAGATAAAATATGCATATAAAGCATGGCATCAAAGAGCCTCTTGACTATTATGAACTGAAACATTTGAATCCAATGCTAGTTTTCGAAATTAAATCCCACCAAACATCAATCCACGACAGACTATCTCTATTACTTTATTTCCTAATTTCATTTCGATATTGAAGCCCATTTTCTTTTTGTCATAATTTTCTTTTTTTTAATCTCGAATGTGAAGTGAAGTGTATGAAAATTTTCCATTTTTCACCACGGATGTATAAATGAGGAAATTGGTATATTGTAAACAAATTTTTTCGTACTGTTCTCATATCATAAAATAAATAGATATTTTATAGGCCAATAGATCGGTTTGATGTACTGCTTGTGGAATCCAATATCACAATTGATCCAGCTCCTAAGTTGAATAAACTCAGACGGTTCGCCTTCCTTTCAAGCGCACTTGAAACACTTGAGATAATAGTTGTTCGATACAACCCGAAAAAAAATCATTTTTATGCACTGTGTAGCAGCGCAAGAAGTGGGAATATGGAATGAAAGAGAGAGAAAGAAAATTGTGTTTCAATTTACAAAACTCAGAAATTTTTCTTAATGAATTGACTGTTGTTGTTGTTCGAAACTAAAAATAGATTTCACAGAAACCAATTTTTTTATTCTGTATACAGTTACTCGATACACTTGTAACATTTTGGATTTGTTTATGTCAATAGAACGATTTGTTTCGTTTTTGTTGGAATATTAATAAGGCGATTTTAAAGGATTTGTCTAGCCGTGTACGATTTCAGAGTTAAGAAGATGCTTTAAGTAAATAAATGTGATTCTCTCGACTTTTTCGGCTCTTTTAACTCTCTCTCTCTCTCTCTCTCTCTCTCGCTCGCTCTCTCTCTCTCTCTCAAACTCTCTCTCTCTCAAACTCTCTCTCCGTCACAAACGCGAGCTTCAATTCTGACAAATTCATTTGCTAAATTTTACCACGACACATTTGATATATATTTTTTATGTGGATTTTTTTTTCAGAAATGAATCTAACATGTGTAGGTGTAATTCGGAGATTGAACGAATTCGGTGATCGGTCTAATACTAAAAATCAAACATGTGTTCGATCAAATAATTTCAATATAAATGCAACAATGATCGATGAAATAAAACATTCCTTGATTTATTGTCTTCCTTGGCTATTAAATTAGACAATAAAACGTTGTTTTTTTTTGGTCGAGCCGATTGTTTTAATTCTTTTGACTTCATTTGTTAGTTTCACTATGTGTGGATTTCGCTTGAAATTCGAAAGGGAAATCGGTTTCTTCTTTTGGTTATAAATTTTCATCGATTTTTCTTATGTTTCTATTGATATTCAAGGCTGAACCCGGGCGATAAAATGCGATACACACTAAACGAAGAATTTTTTGTAGAAATTTAGTAGCTCTATCGAAATTGATCCATGATTTGGTGGAAAAGAGCCTCTCTTTCAGAAAAAATCGGGTTTCCTTGCAAGAAAAAAGAGAAAACCTCAAGAAATGTGTACAAAAAGATCTTTTGTATGATATTGATTTCGAGTTAGCCGGACAAACGGGAACTTTAGATTAAAATTATCGAAAGTTCTGTAGATTAGAGATGTGGAAAGGAGGAAATAAAAGTTAAAAGATAACATGAACATATCGGTTTGTAGCAACCCCAATTACTTCATGTTTGCTCTCATGCACTCGTGTTCTACAGCTCAAGAGCTTCGACGAAATGAATATGCTTGTAACAGATCAGCTTTGGATTGTTTATACTTCATTTTTTTCCCAACTAAGCCGTGGTCCTTTCTACAAACAATCAACTCGATTTTACTTTTAATACAATATTTTGTTTATGTAAACCGGTATCTGGATAAGAGGAAACGAAAAATAACTTATCAACATCAGAAGCGACGGTAAGGCCGTACGAGCTTGACTGACGATTACAATCATCAGTGGTAAATGATCGGAAAGACATTTTTGAATAAATAATCGCATATTTTCTGAATATGCGTATAATTTCTATTCTCTAATCGCATGCTCTCTGAATTTTCATATCTTTTCTTCTTCTTAAAGATACGGGTAATATGGTTTTATATAGGGTAATTTTGGAATGAGTGGGCCTATTATATAATATATTTATTCTGTGATTAAGTAAACTATGTTCCACTCGTGTTTTTTGCGATTTAGACTTCATTTGAAAATAATTTAAAATAAATTTTATTCCAATGATAATTTCGATGGTAACAAATAACGAATAGAGTCTTCATGAAAATTTATGGTCTTATTTTAGCCAAAACAACTTTACAACGACGATAATACTATTTTTAAACATGAATTATTTTATGATTGGTTGACCGCTTGAAAATACGCTCTATTCTTTTCGTATTAGAAAGTCAGTTGAACATTATCAGCTCTTGGTCTCACACATAGGTATGCCATCTACGATAAAGGTTTCAGGAAAATTTGCAAATCTGCTTGGTCATAATACATGGCTCTAATTCGGTTTCTCCTTTTCATTAAAATTATCAAATAATCAGAATTCTTCACCCAATTTGCAATGGCATCGACAAGTGATCTTTGACTTTGCGAAAAATCATAGAAAACTTTCTTCATGTTAAATCGACAAGTCACTACATATTTTGCCATTTCAATATTTTTACGGACTTTGAAACACAATAAAAAAAATTGTTTTTTATTTGTTTTAAATCGAATTTCTTTTGAATTTCACTATTGATTTCCACAATAAAATTCAAATAAAATTTAAAAAAACGAAACTGTCTCTTAGAGTTTCGATGCACGGTAACAGTAAAATACACAGTGACTCAACCGTCGATCGGATGCGTTTATACGAATGTGACCGAGTGTAAAGCAAGACAATTACTTTTGTTATTGCCATTGGCAGTTCAAATTTTGCTTTGTCGTGTTTATGATTCGCCAAAATATTGTCGACACGATTGTTTGTATAAATATTTTCTGATTCCGTATGCTTTTCGTTGGTCTGTGGTTTCTCAGTTTAAAAGGTTTTCTGTACCTGCATTTCAGTGTGTGTGTGTCTGTTGGGCGAATATCACAAAAGTGAGAAAGCTACAGGTGAATCACTGTAGAAACCGATGTTGACCATCAATTTTTTCGATTTTGTTAAATTTAAACCAAATATTCAACCTGATTTTTGGAAAAATAAATTTCTTTTCGGTATATTTGAAATGGAATCAGTCTTAAATTTCGCACAGTAGGTTTTAGTGCAAATAATTTGGTCGATGAACAGAAAAAAAAGAAAACGACTCACAGAGTCTCGATAACGGTTAAATACACTGCAACTCGACCGTCGATCGTATACGTTTGCATGAACGGGAGCAATAGTGATGCACGAACTGTATCCTTTGTTACTCTTGTCACTTTTATTGGAAATGACAATTTTGACTTTGTGAACTGTTACAGTTCGCTAGAATATTGTCGACTCGATTTTTGTATAAATATCTTTTTGTTTCATATACTTTTGAAGGTGGTCAGTGGTTTCTCAGTTTGAAAGAATGCTGTGTCTAATGTTCAGCGAAAGCCGGTATTAGACAAATGTTATTTGTCATGCACTCTTTTAAGACAATTTGTCGAATTTGTCACGTAACACAACATCAATTGTTAGTTAAGAGTCAAATACTGTAGATACCAATATTGACCACCCTTTTTTCAGCAAATATTTTGCATGTTTAATCATATTTTCAATGCGATAAAATGTCTCTCATCATGAAAATAATCGCTTCTAGGGAATCGTATTTCAATCGATGAAATGGTAAAAACGGACAAAATTATCTCACTTAATCTCGATTTCAAAGTATGGACACGCGGTACTGAGTATTGGTGTGAATGAAATTGGACAATGTGCGAAGTGTTTGCATTATTTAATTTGCTCAATATTCCTTTCAAAGAGATTGTTCGTTTACTTCGCGTCTGCCTATGTTTACATCTCGAATTCTTATTCGTCAAAATAACTTTGAGTCTTTTTTCTTCTATTTTTGAATGTAACTTTACTTAAGAACGTTGCGAAGAGCGCATTGTCCATATTAAAGAGTGTAACGATCAAACTACATGGCCCATCACTTCAAGAAATCGAAGAGGCAACAAAAAATATTTTCTTTCATCTGATTTTACTCAACACATCGCTCTAGAAACGAAATTAAAACAATAACTTCAAATAAAAGAACGTACGTTCATTCTGTGTATTGAAATATGGTGGAAAACATGGAATGTTTTGCGTATTATAATTTGCGTGGGACATATTCACAGATGACCACCGCTTTTCACAATTTCTCAAAACCGTTTTCTTCGAAACTTTTCAACCAAAAAAAAAAAAAAAACTTCGATAGAAATGCACAATAAAAATTGTTCGTTAAAATTGCGGGATTGCGTTCGACTAAACTTGGTCGCGCGTCGTAACTGTACTGAGTTCATTCTTCACTTGACTAGATCCTCGAAACAGCTACGAAACAGAGAGTGTGCGTGAGAATATTTGGGGAGGGGCTAGCTCTTCAGTCTTCAAGGAAATCACTGTGATGCAACACCGTTTTGTGTGCCTATTCTATTTTCGAATCGAATTTATGGATTCAATTCCAATTTGACAACGACGAAATAAGTTCACTGTTCGTCTTTTGACTATCAAGTCATATGTATCAAGACTTAAGACGTGATCGCAATACTTGAATGGGATATAAATTGGCAATGATAATGTTGATGCATTCATAATATGAAATGAAAATTTTAAACTATTCTCTCCCATACATCATGTAGATTGTAGAGATATAGGAATTTTTCTTCAATTTATTCGAATTATGTTAATTTTATTGCGCAGGAGGCTAATAACAAGTTTTGAAGAAAAAAAAATGATGGACAAAACATGCCTTTGATTTGCAGCCAGTTCAATTGTTTGATTTATTAAATCAATTTCAATTACTTGTAAAAGTTTCCCTAGCATTTTTATAAACAAAGAAAACACAGTCAGATCAAGCAGATGCTAAAAGAACTATTTCCATCCAATTTTTCCGGGTTTGTATGGCTCCGCCCCTCTGGGCGTTCCAATCGAAAATCTAAATATTGTTCAGGTCATATGACGAGAGTAACTTCTTCGCTCATAGCATCGATTCACCTTCGATTGGATGTTCACGACTCCCGAATATGATTAACCACACACGCATTTTTCCGCTTGAAGAAGTTATGTATAACCAGAAATAAACTGCTCTTATTTCAATTTCAACTCATTATGTGTTTGACTTAACCATAATCACGATTCCAATTTACGGCGTGTAGATCGTTGGCTTGCATACATATTCGGTTTCGATTGAAGAAATACCATTTCATTGATTAACTCCAAGAAATAAACGTAATATGCACTTAAATATTTCAACATTATTTCACATTTAGATAAATATGATTTTTTAGATACAAAACATAGACATAACAGCCCGAAAGATGAAAAATCAAGTGAACATCAAAACTTTTTATGAGCACAACTGTGCAGGTTGACTGATTCTTCAAGTGCATGTAATTTTTAGAAAAAGCAGCAATATAAGCCGTTTCTATTGCTATTATTGTAACATTCAACTGAGCTCCAGTGGTATACATTTCAGACGATTTATTTTGGCATTCCTTTCTTTGGTGAGTTTCACAGCTTCTTCCCAGTTGAATGATTGAGTTTTATCCGAAAATGCAACGTTTCCTTGTTTTTAATTTGATTAATCAAAATTTGTGAACGCAATACTTTCTTGTGGACATCCAATTGCAAAGTCTGGATAACAACAACTCACAATAGATGCATTTGAATAATCAAACACTTTCAGAGCAATTCAAGGAAATCCAATTGCAATTGAAAAATTCTAATTTGAGGATTGCGGTCATTTAAATTTCATTTCGAATGGTGTTACAGAATAAAGACTGACAATATTCGGTCAATCAAAACCAAGATCAAAACAAACTGATTTTAAAATCGACCGAAATTCCAACATTTTAACTGGTTACATACAAATCGCATTTTAAAACATCTAATCTAGTGACATCTATTGATACTTAATTCTGCAAATGATGCTTTTGTGAGTGTACAAGGGCGATTTTAAGTCATTGACCACATCTCTGCCGATACAATATTGGGCATAGAAAAATCAGTTTAACGTCCGGCAAAATGTTTATTTTTTGTTGTGTCCGGCTGTCATTATACTCTGTCGTGAATAATTTCACACGAATTCATCGTCTGCAGTTGTTCCAACGGGTTGATGCAGTATCATTGTGTGAGAATTCTGAATAGCAAGCATCCAAATTGAAACGAACACAATCAAAAAAGTTCGATTTTCAATCATCGATGTATGTCGTACATGCAGCCCGTAGCTTTGTTCGGCTCAGTGATACAAATTTGTGTATTCGTTCGTATGGAATTGCCTATATGTTTTCTTTCGTTCTGCTCCACAAAATTGGCAATGGGAAAATCGCAAGTGAGCGAAACGACACGATTCGACGGTGTTTCAAACCACAAGCATTGAACAAAGTCGTATCATCACGCCACTCAAAAACAACACTTCAACCAGCGCACATAGACAAACGGCAACGACATTTTTGACGACATTTTTATAGGAGAAAAATTAGTTTTTTTCATCCAATTTTTATATGCAATCGAGTTAATAGGAATATTTTGACAACTTTCGATTTTTAAGAAGGAGTTTTTGTGTGATTCCTGTGACGAACAACAATCCAAATTGATTCCGAATAGCAAGGTAAGTTATGATAATTGTCTTAATCGTTTTTTTTGCATTTTTCGTGGCAAATAAGTTTGATAACGGATTATAAGAAGAACCGAAAAAATCAAATCTAGTGCAAACAAGATGGTGTTTCATATTATTCACACTCGTAACTCATTCGCATGATTTGCACACAAATTTTTACCGCAAAATGATGATAAAACAACGAATCGATGAATCGGCATTTTTTGAAATCGTTGCATTTTATTCACGCATATTCTCTGCTCGATTTTTCTACATAAAACTCATGCAATGTGTGATTTTCATTTGGGATTTGTCGGTATTTTTTTCTGGATTTCAAAATCAAAATTCTTCCTTTCGAATGCTATTCCATATTCAATGTGCACAACGTTTGTGTCGAGAATACAATACGCTGACGCTAGCAAAAAATGCACCATCATCGAGTATGCTATGATTTTGGGATTTTGATCCAGTGAGCAAAATGAAGTGCACCTCAATTGATCCGTTATTTTTTGTTTTCATTTCAGACACAGCGAAAATGGAAAAACTCGCTAAAGCACCGATGATTCGTAGATCACTCACGAAAGTGACAAACACACAATCGACAACGTCGCTAACCGACATGAATGATGACTGTTTGACGAGTGTTTTTGATTACTTGGACACTGCCAACTTGGTAAATCTAACTAAAACAAATAAACGATTGAACAACATTGTCACACACCGCGTGATTCCAAGGAAAATTGTACAATTGGACATGCAACGATCACCAATTCGCGCAATGATGAAACTGTTTGGTGGAACGATCACCCGAATTTCAATCTATGCTCATAATCGGCCAAGCAATCAGCCATGTATTTCGAGTTTCGCTGAAATTTTTCATCTGCTCACCGTTTACGGTACACCCGGGAAATTGCAGCAGCTCACTATCAACGGTTTATTTGATAAGGATTATGAAATCTCATCAAATGAGTTTGAAAATTTTCGGCCATACCTTGAAAATATTCACACGCTTAGCATCGGTGTGAAATATTTTGAAAATGTGTATATCAAGCGTTTCATGAAAAACATCCCGAAGCAAAATCTTCGCCATTTGTCTTTGGACAATATTCCATTGAGTAGCAAATGGCTTTCAGTCCAATCACTTCCACGTCTACGAAATATTTGCATGTATGTGAAAGTAAACGGTCAAAATCTTCATTCAATTGGCGACAAATTGACGAGATACATTGCCGAAAAACCACAGTTGAGCACCTTCGATGTCGTTCGCGTGAATGTTCCAACACACACATTTATGAGCCAGATGGGAATTGAGTACGAATTGATGCGGCAACACATTCAGATCGAATTGTCACGACACGTTCCGAACATCACTCAAAGTGGTACGGCCAAAACCAACTCGATGGTTGATCAACCAACTAGCGTTACTGGCCAAAGTGTTACTCTGGCCAATCGCAGCTATGGAAAAGCAAAATGGGAACACCTGGACAACTTCACAAACTTGAAGAATTTCAGCCTGAAAACACATGCTAAAGACTTCAGGGATGCTGGTGAAGTTTTCCGAATTTTGGCCGAGCGAAATACAATCGGATACCTGGAATCGATCAGTGGCTTCATACCGCGAACGGAAAATACCAGCTACCCAGTTCAATTTGATCACTTGCGCCGAATGACACACGTGAAATCGCTTCAATTGGTCGATTTCGGCCGATTGCATTCAGATAACTTCGTGGGTAAGCTATTTGAAAATCTCACCAGATTGTAAGAGTACACCATAGTTGGCACCCAGGTTAAACAAGCCCCCATCATCAAATTGGTTCAATCCAACCGAAACTTACGAGTTCTGAACATGGCATCACTATCGTCATCGTTCTACCGAAAATTGGTGAAGGTGCGACAAACGGCTCATCCCGATCTTGTAGATCAACCGCTCATCATTTGAAAATGCAAATCAGAGCTCACTATCCGTATGTATAAACCAGAGATCATCGCGATTGAATATATATTATATATATATATTAATGTTAGATGGGTAGACATACCTTTTAGATCGTTGTGTTTGTATATTTAGGTTCTTTGTTTTGACCAGTCTCAAGACTCACAGAATCAAAATCAATCCAATTTGCATGCAAATTCGGAATTTTTTGTATTGAACAAACGAATTTCATACTTTATATATACGGTTTGATTGTTATTTACAATTTTTCTGTGAAAAATTTTAATTTATTGAACGATCGAACAGTTGTTGAGCAACAGTCATTTTTGTATTGAATTTAAGCAATTTCATCGTAAGCGATTGGATAGACCCATTGAAAGTGAAATAGACATGAGAGATTTTGTAAATCTTAATTTTAATTAAATGAAACAAACGACGAAAATAGAAGTATATCGATTAATATAGCATTACATTGTTTATTACAAATTGTAACTGAAAATTAGATATTATCAGACGAAATTACTTCATTTTGAATAAAAAAAATTGAATTTGAACGGAATTTGGATCTTGCTATCGGTTTTTTGTTGTTGTTATAATGGCAATTGTGCGAGTACTTCAAACTAAATTATTTTGTCGTACAGACACACGACTATTTCAATCAAAAATACGTATTTTCTCAAAATCTGGAAATAAATGTTCATACCATCAAGGTTTGTCCATTATCTTCTTGATTTTCAGAGAAAAAAAACTTTGAATTTGATTAAAAATTTGATTTTTCTTCAATTCGTTTTCTAATGTATTGTTTTTGGTTGAATTTACATATATGAAAAAATCGTTTTGCGACTCGAAAGAAGGTTTTAAAGCAGAAAAATGGTCCTCTCGATGTGAGACAAATGGGCACAGCTTGGTAAGGATAAAAAAAATTCAGTAAAAAAGAAAATGATTCGATTTGGCAACGCAGTCATTTATTACAATCAAGTTAAGTACATGAGATAAATTAAAAGTGATAAATTACTGGTCACAATCGTTGATTAGACGATGAAAAGAGAGTCTCTCCGGAAATTTTGGAATAAAATACGGACAATTTTCAGATATTGTAAACTTTCTTGTTTACCTATTTCTAGAATCGTACCAAAAAAAAATCAAGGCACATAAAACGTTAATACCACTCCACTATCATTTGTTGAATCTCAAGTGTTTACTCCGATTTTACAAATGGAAATATCAAATAAGCCAGAACGGCAATGGTCACAATCCAAAGAGGTCGATATTTTATCACCAACGAAACCAACTTTGCTAAAATTTTGAAAAGAATATAAAAAACTACAACAAACAAGAAGATAACATCGAGTGAATTTTTTTGAATGAAATTCAAATGAACAGCAGAGCTTTGCATGTGCTTGGCCCCATCATATCGAATCACGTATTCAATCCAGTAAACGGCTGTTTGCAGCGGAGACATTGGACGATCCCGAAAGAGTTGCGACAGTTTTTGTACCGATTCTCTATATGTTGAATTGGTGAGTATTTCGTGAATGCTTTCGCTGAATATCGTTTTGTTCAGAGTGTCAAAGTCCAAAGTAACCGCCCATCCCTGGTTTTCAATCTGTTTTGCATTTGCCAGTTGATCACCGTAAATTGGCTGGAATGAAAAAAAAATAATTAAAAACATGCGGAATGAATATCTAAAGAAATAATTTGGTTTTTTTTTTCTACAATGGAGTACTCGGAGTACATACTATTCCAAGAATGGGGACACCATAAAATTTAGCTTCGTAAATTCCGCTGATGCCACAGTGTGATATGAAAAATCGAACTTGTGGCTGGGCAAATAAATCGGCTTGTGGTATCCATTGCATCATATGCACATTTTTGGGCTTTCCCACTGGGATTTCACTTGATTCCCATTTCCAAATGATTTTCTGCTTCAATTGTGCAAATACACTATAAAACAATTTCACTTTGTCATCAGTCATGTGAGAACTTTGAATATTTCCACCAAAACTGAATACGATAACACCGTTCTCATCGGCCGAATCGAATACATCTTGAAATTCCTGAAAATTGAAAATAAAAAAAAGTCTTGAATGTCCAACAAGTGGATGATTTTTTTTTTGGATATATCTTTAAAACTTCTTTAGGATATTACAAAGGCAAGCCCTACCTTTGGAAGTGGATTTGGTGTTTCCTTGATGTGCAAACCGCCCACTTCGATTAGGTTTGGCAGAGCTGGCCGAATTGTACCTTCGCTAAAATGAGTGGTGGTCAGAATGAGCGATACATTTTTCTTGATCTCATCAAATGTCGGGAAATTTTCAATAACTCCAAAATGTTCGTCGTAAAACTTTTCAAACAGGAAATAATTTACGTATGATACGTAGAAATATTCAAAGACATATTCGATAAATAGTCCCAAACGCTGTTTGAAATTCAGTTGATCAATTTTCTTTAGATGTTTGAACAATGGTGCACTCGACACAGCCGCCGGATTACCAATCATATCTCGAAGTGGTTTCATAGCGGGTGACGTGCTAAAAACCACCTTCGTTAAAAGAAGTGGATATGCGATAAATAAATATTGATTTAATATTTATAGTTATAGAGGTCGATTTCGATTAATTGTATCTTTTTAATCACCGATGGACAACGAAAATGACCAGCCAAGCCCAACATCATGTCATTGAGGCTGTAGTCAAAGAAGAATAAGTCAAATTTTTGGCCGGATTTTATGACACTCTGTACCGCTTCATGTTTTATTATGAGAGTTGATCGGTGAGCCATCATCCGCATCCATTTTGGAATTCGTTTCATTTGAGTTTCATCATCTTTGGTTTCGTTATTAAGCATTCCTTTGCGCATATCGATCCATTCATTCAAATCATCAATTTGGGTGTAAATATGATGATAAGTCTTTGGCAACGGCCGATCCGGTTTTGGAAATGTACTTAAGACCGTGACCTTAGTTAAAATAAGAAAAACGTTAACATATTCGTAAGTGAATGATTTAATTTGAAACAAAGAATTTACATTATGTCCCCTGTTAGCAAGCTCCTCAAGAATCGTTGCCACAACGATGTGATGCGATCGGCTAGCTGATGGAACGCATGCCAAAATATTAGCTCCATTGACATTGGCACAAAATACTGTCAACGCAAGCAAAACTAGAGCGCGTAAACTGAACATGATGGACGTCGAAACACTACAATAATTGTTTTGCACATTGACTCAGAAAATATTTCATTTTTACGACAAAAACTTCATGACGCTGCAAAAATGGAATAAGTGGCAAGCTGTATTTAAACATGTGGAATCGGTTGTCTCTATCCAATAAAGATAAGATTAAAAATACGAAACCTAAACTGATTCGACTGATTAAATATTTATCAATGGCAATGGTTATTTACTCACGCAATTGTGTTACATTTGAAGTTTTTGAACATTGAACGATTTTGTTTGGAGGCTTTGCAGCGATTGCAAATGATTCACGTTTTGAATTTCCAAACAAAAAATCTTTGATAACGATGATTTCATACAACACTTGATAGTTTATTTGTCACCACCAGAGTTTTGGGTTGGTTGATTTTCAGCAAAATCGAATTACATCATTGGTGTAACATCATATTCTAAATGAAGAAAAAAAAATAATCAAAAACTGTGAACATACAATTAACACTCTACCTTTCCAAACATATCCTGGATCTAAAATAAAAAACATTCAAAACCTGTAAACGTTCGCAATCATTTCCATTTGAATCGGAATCGCATACCGACTAAAATTTCAATTGCCGTCTCCACTCTTCGCATGAAGTTGCAACAACATGTCAAACACATTCTACTCATACACATTGAGTTTGACAGCTAATTTTGCGCTTCAAAACAATGTTGGCGCCAATTCTTCACTGCGAAAACAAAACTGTGTGAGAGTCGAGTTATTTAAAGTGATTGTTTGCCACGAAATTACCAGTCAAATCGAACAATATTTAAAGTTGAGCTAAAAAAATGATGAATAACAAACGCAAACCCGGCCCATATCCACCAAAACCAGGCGGATCAAACAATTTTCCAAAGAAATTTCCCAAGTAAGTGTAATACAACAAATAATAGCCTACGATACAACCAAATTGCAAATGAACTGGCGCGTCATGAAATTAAGTTGGTTTGATTTATTTTTAGGCAAGACGATGATGACGATGACGATTTCATGGGAAGCAATTTTGAAATGGAATTGGCTAATATGGACCAAGGCGATGAACAAATGCTGCTTGGCGAAGGACCCGAAAATCAGCACACAAATGTCAAATGGGTAAATTCATATGAACAATCAGACAATTCTCATTCTACATTCGACTATTGATTCAAAAACTGGTGGATTGGGATTGAATCAGACATTTTATTGAATTTTATTGGTCGTGTGCAAATGCCAATTGAATGGTTTGTGTGACATGAAAAAAATACGTTGTACCATACATAAAATTGAACAACAAAAGGAAAATTTGGCGAACATTCATCGGTTTCTGCGTTTAAAAAGTCATTCGCTTGATTTTATAGACAGACAATAATTCATTCAACGATGATTGATGTGTATATTTCGTTTCAGGCTCGTCCGGATCCACCTGAAATCAATCCGAGAACCGACAGCATTACATTCCAACAAATCGATGTCGAAAATTACGTCGGCCGAGCAATGGCTGGAATGCCAGGCGCTCAAAGTGGCCCCTGCCAAGTGATTCGTATGTTTGGTGTTACAATGGATGGCAATTCAGTATGTTGTCATGTTCATGGATTTGCTCCGTACTTTTATATCGGTTCACCGACTGGTTTCGATCATACACACTGTCAACCGTTCAAAGATGCATTGGATAGAGCTGTCATAGCTGATTTGCGATCCAACAGAGAAGGCCTACAAGAAGCTGTCTTAGAGGTGTCAATCGTACAGGGTAAATCATTGTACGGCTATCACGGTGACGAGAATCAGGAATTCATCAAAATCACATTGGCTCTGCCACGACTCATCGCTGCTGCCAAACGATTGCTCGAAAAGACAATTATCTATAGCCAGTTTGACTTTCAAGACTGTCGCGCGTACGAAAGTAATATCGATTTTGACATTCGTTTTATGGTTGACACTAGCGTTGTCGGATGCAGTTGGATTGAATTGCCACCAGGTACATATCGGCAGCGGTCAAAATTTGGCATGCCTTCAATTGAATCTCGATGCCAAATCGAAGTTGATGTTGCATTCGATAAATTTATTGCACATGAACCAGAAGGTGAATGGGCCAAAGTGGCTCCATTCCGTATTCTCAGCTTTGATATTGAATGTGCCGGTCGTAAAGGTATTTTCCCAGAGCCAAATCATGATCCAGTCATTCAGATTGCCAATATGGTGATTCGGCAAGGTGAAAGCGAACCATTTCTACGTAATGTTTTCACATTGAACACATGTGCACCGATCGTTGGATCACAAGTCATTACCAATCAGACTGAAACGGTGAGTTTATATTTCGTTTTTTTGGTTTTTTGTTTTGGAGGACAAAGTTTTCTTCTTCTTAGAGGGAATCCATTTGGAGGGAAACAAAGTTTTCTTTTCGACAGCATGGTTTTTTTTCTCTCGCAAATCAAGGCTTTCCCTTCTTTTGGTTTTTATTTCTCCTTTGAAAAATTGAAGTAAAGCCAAAAACGATTATCGTGAAGACTAAAACAGTTATTCTCATTTTAGGATTTGCTCGAAAAATGGTCGCATTTCATTCGTGAAGTTGATCCAGACATTCTTACCGGCTACAACATCAACAATTTCGATATTCCGTATCTACTGAATCGTGCACATCATTTGAAAGTGAAGAATTTCGAATACTTGGGTCGAATCAAGAATATTCGGTAAGGAAACCAGTTTTTATATTCTGTCCAATACGTTGGACTTTCAGCCGTCAATTCAATCTCTTTGCTTCAACGTTTTGAGATTCAAGGTTGGCTCGTTCGAGAAAAACAACTCCGTAATAATATTTTTTTTATCTTCCAGATCAGTCATAAAGGAAACGGTAATCCAGTCGAAGCAAATGGGCCGTCGTGAAAATAAGTATGTGAACTTTGAAGGTCGTGTGCCGTTCGATTTGTTGTTCGTGCTATTGCGAGACTACAAACTACGTTCGTACACACTCAATGCGGTGAGTTATCATTTTTTGCAAGAGCAAAAGGAAGATGTCCACCACAGTATCATCACCGATCTGCAGAATGAAAGCGATCAGACGCGTCGTCGTTTGGCCATTTACTGCATCAAAGATGCTTATTTGCCACTGCGTTTGTTGAACAAATTGATGTGTATCGTGAACTACATGGAAATGGCACGTGTAACTGGCGTTTCATTGGCAAGTCTGCTGACGCGTGGTCAACAAATCAAAGTTGTAAGTCAATTGTTACGAAAAGCAAAAACGGCCGGCTATTACATGCCAACACACACTGGACAATCGGGCGAAGACCAATACGAAGGTGCCACTGTCATTGAACCAAAACGTGGCTACTATTCGGATCCAATTACAACACTCGATTTTGCATCGCTATACCCAAGTATTATGATGGCACACAATTTGTGCTACACCACATTGGTGTTGCCGAACTCCAAGGAGAAGCACAGGTAAATTGAACGAATAGAAATAGAATAGATTATTGTTTAAATTAAGTGCTGTTCCAAGCCTAAAATCCTCCATTGTTCTAATGTCATTTGCAATTCCATTCTTTTGTTTCTTCTTCCACAGATTAACACCGGACGCTATAACCACGACTCCGTCGAACAATCAATTCGTGAAGGCTTCGGTGCGTAAAGGATTGTTGCCCGAAATTTTGGAATCATTGCTGACTGCCCGAAAGCGTGCAAAGGCCGAATTAAAAAGCGAAACGGATCCGTTCAAACGAAGCGTGCTGGATGGTCGTCAATTGGCGTTGAAAATTAGTGCCAATTCCGTGTATGGTTTCACTGGTGCTCAAGTTGGAAAATTGCCCTGCCTCGAGATATCCGGCAGTGTAACAGCCTACGGTCGTACGATGATTGAACAAACGAAGAATGAGGTTGAAACCCATTACACCATGGCAAATGGCTACGACAATGATGCAGTGGTTATCTACGGTGACACCGATTCGGTGATGATAAACTTTGGCGTGAAAACGCTCGAACGCAGCATGGAATTGGGCCGAGAAGCGGCAGAATTTGTGAGCGCCAAATTCGTAAAGCCAATCAAATTGGAATTCGAAAAAGTCTACTTCCCGTATTTGTTGATCAACAAGAAACGGTATGCTGGTTTATATTTCACCCGACCGGACACATACGATAAAATGGATTGCAAAGGTATTGAAACGGTGCGTCGTGACAATTCGCCATTGGTTGCGAATCTCATCAATAGTTGTTTGCAAAAGTTGCTGATCGATCGCGATCCAAGTGGTGCCATCGATTTTGCCAAACAGGTCATATCGGATTTATTGTGCAATCGCATTGATATCTCACAATTGGTCATCACAAAGGAGCTGACGAAAAATGAATATGCAGCCAAACAAGCGCACGTTGAATTGGCGGCCAAAATGAAGAAACGTGATCCGGGCAATGCACCAAAATTAGGCGATCGTGTACCGTACGTATTGTGTTCGGCAGCCAAAGGTACACCGGCCTATCAAAAGGCCGAAGATCCAATTTATGTACTTGAGAATTGCATTCCAATCGATTATACATACTATTTGGAGAATCAACTATCCAAACCATTGTTGCGTATATTCGAGCCGATACTTGGAGAAAAGGCCGAATCAATTTTGCTGCGGGGTGAACACACACGAACACGTTCGGTGGTTACATCAAAAGTGAGCGCACTTGGTGCATTCACCATGAAGAAAGAGACGTGTATCGGTTGCAAAACCGTATTGCAACGAGGATACGAGACCAGAGCCGTTTGTCAGCATTGTGAAGAGAAGGAAGCATCATTGTACCAACAAGAATTGACATCGCAACGCTTTTTGGAGGAGAAATTCTCGCGACTATGGACCGAGTGTCAACGATGCCAAGGTTCATTGCATGAAGAGGTGCTGTGCACAAGTCGCGATTGTCCCATTTTTTACATGCGGATAAAGGTTCAAATGGAATTGGACACACAGGAAAAACGTGTTCAACGCTTTGGTGTTCCAGCATGGTAACCAGTTGTGGCAACCAACAAATAAAACATTTTCAAACTCCATACACACATTTTCTATTCATATTTTTCTTATTCACACTGTTATCATTCGTTGGATATTTGATGAAACAAAACAAAAATCAAAAGTACGATGTTTTAGAATAAGTTTTTCGTTTCGTTGTTGTCGATGAATTAATGAAAACTAAAATATACATCGTATCAATAAAATGATCTGTTTAACGCATTGAAATTTTCTGAATTACCTTGCCAAAAAAATGCGTGTATGATCATAGGGACGGAATTTGTATCTGATTTACATGTGTTTTTTAGTGCCATTCGATAAGAATGAAGACGATGACGGCGGGTTTGATGCGATGCAGATGAAATCAGCATTTAAAAAAGAAACAACAGTCATATATGTCGTAATCGATCTGCTTTTCTCTCTCAGTATCTGTATATCATGAAGGTTGATAGCCACTGAACTTGATATAGCACTCTTCAGCCAATTGATTGCTATGCATACTGTATCTCATCATCGATGAAGCGTATATCTCATCATAACAACGTTTCTTTTTCTTCTTCTTTTTTTGTTGAAGTGGTTGATCGAGTTTTTCAATCTGTAACAACATCAAGAAAAATATATACGCACACAAGATCGAAAAGACTCAAGTCACGGATAGTGGGAGAACGATAGATTAGTTGTACATTCGACATATGAAATGTATTGGCCAAGAGATTCCAAACGAACGTCGATGGCACACGTGCGATTGGTATAAGAATGATGTGCTGCATATTTTCGGCGCCATGCGTACACATCGAATCTATTCCAAAGCGCCAATCGGATTTAATCAGGTTATTTTTTTCTTTACTGATGATTCGATTGCAAAGATATTTCACCACGATCACGAAGACGATGACGACGACGACGATGACGACGACGACCAACATATTCACGCATAATGCATTTTTATTATCTTTCCATTCAATAATGTAAAATCATACATGCCGCTGGTCGATGTATATGCGCGCACACCGCGAACAACATTTAATTAATATGTAACATAGGTCAAGGTCGAACACTGAAACCGTAAAGCATACAAGTGTATTTAAGTCGACTTACCGATGCAATCAAAGCATTATTTATGAAATTCAGTCCATTTTCGGAACCTTCGACGACGACGACGACGATGATTACGACAACAACGATGATTACGACAACAACGACGCATCCAAATGGCCAAAAAAGAAAGAGAGAAAGAAGAAAACAACAGATAACCAAATAAAAATGCCAATATCGCTAAAAATAAAAGGAAAAATAAATAATACAACAAAAATAAAAGCAGACATTTAAATGCTTTTATGAAATTATTGAGGAAAGAACTTAATAAAAAGTTTTATGGATTTATATTTAAAGCAATTTTTTCGTCGTCTTCTTCTTCATTCGTTCAGTATTTTCGTTTATTTGACACGTCTCGAAATCGTTTCAGTTCACATCACGCTTAGAATAAATTGGACGTGATGCATGAGGTCAGTTAAGAAAACAGAAATTACGGTTTGCACTTTTTAAAGTAATGCCATATGACAGTGTGTCGAAAAGAGATATGCACAACTCAATTCGTTGCTACACAACGCAGTGTGTTAAGCACGCAAAGAATTGTGCCTGGTAAGTATATACATGAGCAATGCTTGCTTCTTATTGAGCATAAGAGCTCTATGCAAAATTATTTCGTCTTTATCCAGAAAAAACAGCGCCGAACGGTTAAACAAAAACCCACAGCTGAACACTGACTCTACTTATTAATTACTTAACGAGACATATGCTTATACTTATTAAGATTCAGTTTCATCGTAGAAACAAAAACAATCCATTTCGTTCCCTCAGAGATTTTAAAAGATTTATACTTAAACAATCGTAATACTATATAAACTACGAATTTTTACCATTTATGGTTTTTTTTATAAACCAAAAAAAATCCACAAACCAAATAGAATTACGACTTCAAATGTGTCAAAATGTTTTATGAGTTCAAAAAATTTACAGCCATAAAGAAAAATTCATATTCGTCAGAGTTTAAGATAAAAAAAAAAAAGCAAATACGACATCAATATCGATGTAAATTAGTGTGTTGGCTCCATCATCAGTTCCAGCTCAATCTGTTATCAGATTTGGTTTTGTTTTTGATTTAGGTTCCGCCACAAAAAACTAAAATCATTAACTGATTCGGTTTTTTTTTCTTCGTCAAACAACTTTGGCTTATTTGGATCAACATTTTTTCGTTCTTTTGGAATTTATGTTTTAATTTGATTTAACGACACATTTTTGTTTGTCGCACGTCACACACGTAAATTTATTCAAATTTTAACATTAGATTCGTTCACTCTAGTTCATAAAATGGGACTCAGACTGGAAACGAGTTATTTTTTGTTATTATGTTGTGCTTTTTTTTTTGTTAAATGTATGAGAAAAAAAGGATAAATCTGTCGGAGAAATGGTTAATTTCGATGGAAATGATTGACTTTTGTCTGCGATTATGCAACAGATGGATGAGATAAGTCGAGAAGACAATGTCTTCAAGACATCTGTTGCGAAATCTGAATCAAAGATCACCAGAATTCTGGGATTTCAACGGATTTTGTGCCATAAAACTGAATCGTTCCACTTTAACTGATCGTCATACCTTTTGCATACATTTATCTTCTTCGTGCGGAAAAGTTGTTTTTATGATTATAATTTCGTACTGAAAAGGTGATATTTCTCGTGAAAAAATAAGTACCTTTTTCGTTTGTCATATTCGTTATCTTGCTTTTTTGGTCTTTCAGCCTGAACCGCTTCACTTTTATGGCTTTAGACTGATGAATTTTTATTGAAAAATATCACATCTATCTCACAGGCCACTGCGCCAGAGTTGAGTTGACTTTGTTCGCGAGAGAGGGAGAGATCGGTATCGCAAGATAGACCAGAAATTAATAACAATCAAGTCTTGTCTGATCTTCACTCATCAATTATATCCGTGTTTTAATTTCCATCATTTATGGATTTTTCTCCCTTGTTATTTCTCTTACGTGCGATCATTAACACTAAAGTGGTCGAAGCGGAGCAGCAGCAAGACAAAAGAACAAGACATCCGTAAATAAATGACATCGAGGCGCAAATTGAAATAGGATGGAAAAACGCTTTCAATTATAACTTAATGATGGGTTAGCTGGCTGGCTGGTTGAACATCGTCCATCGACGCACGAATCATAAATTTTACCGCGAATCCTGTTTTCGTGCATGCTCTTTTTTAGCTCGTCATTCGGCTCACGTATGTGTATGTGTGTGTGTGTTTATGTTGAGCGAACTTACGAACAATGGATCTCTTCAACCTATTTATTCAGTGGGAGATTCCACTCACGATTTTATTGCACAAATCAATTTAAGATCAATAATCATTACGATACACACACTACCGTATACTGAAGTGGCTTGTTGCTGTTCAAGTGCATTATGCGGAATTGTGGAGCATAAAACAACATTCACTTCAACATCATCATCATCCGGGATGTGTGAACGAACGACTTTTAACCAGATTCAAAAGTGAGAATTCGTTGTAGCGATCAAATTAATTGCACGTGACTTTCAGTTAAATCGCATCGTTCTTTTTGATCGTGTTTATACCTCAATGGATTACCAATGGTCAGTCGTCACTTGAGAATGTGCGAAAACACCCCGAAAAAACGCAGAAATATTTCAAATTGATTGCTCTAAGGCGGCGACGAACGATAAAGATAAAATCCCAAATGTCAGATTATCAAATTAATTTTCAAAAAGGCTGTTCACATGGGAGGGATTTAACGATATGGAGATAACAAAAGTGAAGAGAGAGAAAAAAAAGCCTACGAAATAAAAGCTACGCACGAGCGGATTATTTCGCATTTTATTGCCACAATCAAGTGATAAAATAAAATGCTGTTGAACTGTCTCCGAAATATACGACAAAGTCCTTTTCGCAGAAAAAAAAATTCGTCAAAAACTCGCAAGGTCCTGAATCTGAAATTTATTTACAAATTCCCAACGAAACATTTGCGATAATTCATTTCGATTCGATTCTTTGTGTCAATGTATTGAGAAATGTGTGCATTTTTGTCTCTTCGTTTGTCTCTTGTTTATTGGGCGATTTTTTTCGATTAATCGAACTGAAAAAAAACCCAATCGAATTTGGTAAATAATCAAAAATCCACGAAATGATATTGATAATGCTGCGAAAGAGAAAATTCTTGAATGACAACGGCCAAAATTCCATTGTCGGTAGTTTATGAGACAATTTATTTTAGCATTTTTACGATGTGATTTTGCGTCTGGCCAATCATCATTAAACAGATTACTCACAGCAAACAGAAAAACAACAGCAACAAAATATGATGAAACAAACACTCGCGGCCACTATATCGGCCACACCACAATATAGGGAATAATTAAGAACTTGAATCATAGCATTATCCCAAAAATCTATGCAAATATTCGGTAGAACTATAAAAATGACTCGGTCACTTTTTGCTACAAAATTAAGACATTAAAACACAAATGACAACAACCAACGGATCCATTAGAATGAGATAGTTTCACTTTCCGTTGATCAATGCAAATGAACAAACAGAAGAAAAAAAATGGATAAGAATTAATAAATGGATTTGAAAAATTCACAGCAAACGGTGTAGCTGTTATGGTCGGTTGAATTAATGTCTTTGCAAATGACTTGATCTTCATTTTTCTAGTTCATTATATTTCTATCGATCTGTTAAGTATTGTCATTCTTAATAGCGATGTTGTCCATGAATCGTTTTTCTCTCCGTTCTATCTCTGTCTCTCTGTCTATCCCAAATTTACTTGGCACATATTTTTCCGGCCATAAGCGACGCCGTTTGGACGCGAAAGACAATATAGTTGATGACTTGCAGTGTAATAAGCTTCCGCTTAACCAGTCCCATTCATATAATTAATTTATGCACATATTCATATTATAATCATGAAATATTATGTCGTAATCCATTTAAATCGCACAAGATAAGCAAAGTAACAAAAAAAAATAAATTGAAAAAATGGAATAAATTGTTTGGCCGCCGAAATAAAAAAAAAAAACAAATCTATTAGCGAAACGAATATCAAATTTCAAAAATTAATTCAACTGGCGGTTGGCTGCGAACGAACAAGACACGGCAAAAGAAGCAGAAGTAATCAATATTTATGTATGTATCAAGAGCGTAAAGTGTCGCCGAATCGTGTAGCGAATTAAATGTGGTTCACTTGCATGATGATGATGCTCATACACACGGTTACAGCCACGGTTCAAAGCTAAGAGATACGGATGGATCCATGTACCACCGCAAAAAATGTTGTGTGTACAGGTGAAAAAAACAGCGACATAACATCTCTTGAACCACGGCGACGACGGCGATGGCGACGGCGACGGCGACGGCGACGGTGACGGTGGCGGCGACGGCGACGGTGACGGTGGCGGCGGCAGCAGTAAAGGTACAGCACAGAGAGGCGCATGGAAGTTGGCAAATATATAAATACGTTGAGATTCGCAGGTGGCACCTCAGTTGAGCCAGTAAATTCGCGGTATTCAGATTGCGCGGATCGTCCAATATTGGACAACAACAGACAAATAAAAAAAATAAAACAATTGAAATTTCATTTGTTTTTGAGAAACAAAACCCAAAAAAAGGAAACATTTAGCGCAGAGACTAAAAGTGCCTAGTGTGCGTATGCAAAACAGATAAAAAAAATTAGCAATATTCAGTGTATGTGTATGAGTGAGTGTGCAAACTGCAAAGAATAGTGAAGCATCTTTAAAGTGTGACTCCAACGCATTTCAACGAGAGACGTACACAGATTCATACATCGAAATGGTAATAAGTTACTGCTGCTACTTCTGTTCTTGTTGTGTTTCACATTGTTGTTGTTGTGACACCTCTACGGTTTTATATCTATCGATCGATCTGAGGGGCTAGAAAGGAAAACGCGCTAACACACACACGAGCGTGCGCGCGCAAAAAGAAACCGAATAAAACAATGTCAATTGAACATCATTAAGTCACACATCTTTTTTAAGCTAAGCATCATTAGATAATGTAATTAATTTTTGATTGAATAAAAATGTTCCATTGGACATTGGGATGTTTTGTATGGAGACATACTCCATCATATGGCTTTTAATGATGAAAGATCAAGTTCGTGTTTGTCAATGATTCAGTTTCTATTGCGGCGGCGGCGGCAGCGACGGCTCCCCCACAGTCGGTGAAATGAATCGTTTTAAGTGATCGTTAACAAGCAGAGAAAAACTACGCGCGCGCATACGCGCCTGCATCTTTTTTTATATTGAAAATAAATTATCAATACATGAATGCGCTTCGCATTCAAAGCACCAAAGATGGTGCGAATGGTGAATGTCCGGTCAATAGAATTGGATGTTATCTAATAAATCAACCCCATACAGTACAAAAATAGCAAGTCGTTGTTGTTCGACAGGAATGATGGAGGCGTCGCAGGCCGTTGTTAATGTTACTGTTCAATTCTATCCATTTATCGCACGAGATCACTTGTTGACTTGTTGTTTTATTACGGCTGATCGCATGTACTATTCGCTATTTATATCAATGGCATTTTTTGTTGGATTATGTGTCATCGCCACATTCTACCAGATCCATCAGATAGGAGAAGAACAAGAAGAAGGAGAAGAAGACGAAAAATGGACATTTCCTTAATCTACATATCCGGATCAATGCGAACAACACATTATGTGACGATCGAGTCAAGAAGGTGTTCAGAAGGGTGATATGCCATAAACGCAATTAGAATAGCATTTGTCGCATGTCATTTTACTATACGTGACCGAACATCGCGTTTGAATCATAATTCGAATTGACCAAAAACCGATTGATGGAATGCGGGAATTACGGGGGACGAACACGACTTAACGCAAAATCTCACACGCATAAATAAGCAAGCATGCAACATGTTCGCGTTTGGAATTGTGCGCGCGCGCGCGAGCGAAACAACACGCAAAATGAAACAAGAAGAAACCGAGAAACATTCGAAATCAATAACGAAAACACCGACCAAAACAGAAGACCTAAAACAAAAACCACACCAAAAATTCCGATTTTGGGAAGAATCATTGCAAACGCACACATGAAAGTTCATCGGCATATTTCTTTTACACTGCAAACTGCTCACAAGGTTAATTTATGTAAATTAAATTGAATTGAATCGACGAAAATAAATAAGGCAATTTAATGATTGTGTATGTTTTTTTCCCTCGAAAATCACCATCACATATTATTCGATCATATCTCACGTTGATGGCGGCGATCATCATTGTCGTCGTCATCGTCATCGCCGTCAGTTGAATTTGTATTTAATATATATGACACTTTAAGCGCCATCATTATTATGTAAGAAAGAAAAACAGAGCAATACATCTATCTCCAACGAAGCTCTTAATGCTTATTTTTTGCATGATCTTTCACGCAAATCGACAAAAATTCCCGATGTATCGAATAATTCTCTAATTATGCTAAGGATCTGGTTTCACATTTCGTATTTCACGACCATTGCAACATATTATTTAAAAAAAAAAATGAGGAAAAAAATGCGCAAGTGTCGTTTTGTGTCGCCGCAAATCGTTTGTTTGCACCAACCATATGTGATAATTTATATGCGAGATATTTCCAGTAGCACCAATTAATATTTTGGTATTTGAATCTGTTTTCTTCTTGATTTTATTTCGTTCGTTCGTTCGTTTTTTTGGGTTGCACTCTTTGAGCTGCCATCTCATGTATGCGACGTCAAAGACGACGACGATGCCGACCATCAGCAGCGAATCATAAATGGTGCTTTGTTATATACGTGTTGATATTTGTGTTATTTCCTAACAATAGATATTAAATAAAATTCATTGTTATTGCCTTTTTGCCTATTTGCTACTGTACGTGCTAGACTGGAGGCATTGTGCCATGAGAATTGTCAGCACTTCAGAAAAGAAATACGCGTCTTTTGTTTGTAACGGCTTCTCTTTCTCTCTCTCTCTCTCTCTCTCTCTCTCTCTCTCTCTCTCTCTCTTGAAAAAAACCAACGAAAAACGACGACGACGATGAAGAAACAAAAAATACAATTTTCATTACTACAATGAATTAATTAGCGTAACCCACCGGGCAATAAAATGCGATAAAATTTATATATGTTTCGTTTTATTACAAATCCACAAACACATATGGATTTGAGCCATAGCAATGGCAAGTACCTTCATTGTGCAAAAAGAACATCTGGAGCGCACTCAGTAGAGTGTGGTTTAATGCTTTTTTTTTCTCTTTCGGTCGTAACAACAATTATACATTATGCCATTTATCTATGATCTGGGCGAATCCCTACACACAAATTATTACCATTTTATTTTTAATATTTCCGACTTTATCCAAGTCCTCATCGTGTTGGGATTTTTTTTTTATTTTGGTTTTTAATATTTGAAAATTGGGTTTGATTATTTTTAATGTTTCGTCTAATCTGATCTCCTTCTGTTCAATGTAAAGCAATAGAAAGAATAAGGAATAAAATCTTCTCATTAGCAATATATGAGACTATCAAAGGTTATCCAAAAAGTGCGTCACACATGGCCGAAGTGTTGGTCATTTCGGTTGACTCTTGAGCAAGTTGATTGACTTTGGTGTGTACACCATGGATGACGTGCGCCCGCGCCTTGATCACAAGGGAAATTGAAATTCATCGATATAATCTTCAATGATTCACATTTCCAATGTGTTAGCGCATTTGATAACGACTAATGACTGCAAAATTGGGAGCATTAAAAATGTCGCCAAATGGAGTGTGCCAAATGTGTTGAAACTGACCAAATTTACGACATTTTTTTTTGTGCTCCTTTTTCTGTCACACAAATTCCAATGAATGACTCTGATCATGTAACACAAATGAGTTCGATCGCATAGCAATAAATCTGACGGAAGTTATTTGAAAACGTGGATTTTTTTTTGATGCGCCAAAGTGGATCAACGAGAAAAATGATTTTTTTAAATTTGAAAGTAAAAGGTTAGATTCCATTTCAAAAAAAAACAAAACAAAAATTGATATGTAGATTAGCATTTTGTGATTGATTGGCAAATGGATAATTCTTCACACAATAGAAATGGAAATTAGAACACATAACATTAAATACACGCAACAACGATGAAGAATAAAAAAACACACACCCAGCACGACGCACGATGTAATTTAAATAAGTAGGAACTTAAAGTTCTTGCATAATGTGATATCCGTTTACACATAGCAGAAAGCAAAATATAAATCTAGTCGACTTTTTTTTTCATTGAAAACCAGTTTGCCACAACCAAAACAAATGGCCATTTATGTCAATCTGGACCAAGTGCCAAAATAAGTCATTTGAAAAAACAAAGTCCACAAAACCAATTTCTCACTTTCAATTCCATACATCGCTCACATACCTACATGAATTCTTTGCGGATAGACTTGAATCCGTGTGTGCGGTAAGCAGCCAAGAATGAACGTGTACCAAATGAATTCAATGATCACCACATTTTTCACTCTCATCTGGTGTCGCGCACACGTTTTATGTGTGATGCGGACGACCTTGCCATTCAATTTCCATTTGGAGAGACGACACAACAAAAGAATTGACCCACGAATGAATGATGTGCTACAGTTTCTTGAATTTATTAATGTGTCGGCTGTTTTGTTGTTGTTGCTGCTGAATAATAGCCGACCAAATCGTTATCCGTACATGGTTTCTAAGCGTGATACATGCTTCGATTCTCAAAGGTGTTGATGATCATGGAATTTGTGATAAACGAAGAAATAGCATCATGTGTTGATAATATACAGGGAGAACTTATGACAATGCAAAAATTAAACATTGATAGGTAGAGTTGAATTGTATATTGGTACTTGCTGTATACCGGTATCTACTACATATCGGTATGGTGTACTTGTATATCGGTACTCTTCGAACTTGATTCAACTGATATATCGGTGAGTTGCCCTCACTGAGGGCACACAAGCTTACGCACATGGATGACGAATGTGCGACAAATCGGAATCATATCAAGGTTAATCCATCAATATCTCGTTGATCGATTCAAAGCCTATCGATCGTGAATTTTTCGCCAGAAATTTATTGCAAACATCTTGAATATTCATTCCAAAAAACCAATTCAATCAAGAAAAGGGCGTTATATAATCACAAATATTTATGTGACTAATCGATGAATATTTTGTGGTGAATACCACGCATTTTGAAGCACATAAACAAAACATCAAAAAAATGTATGATGCACACACAATTTTCTCGCCCATGAACGACGGTATATTATTCAATTTAAATGAGGCGAAAACAAAACAAAATTTTTATGTTTTTAGATGCAGCAGAGATTTATATGTATGTTTAGTTTTTGTTTCAGCCGAATTAATTAGCTTCTTTCTCAGATGTTATTTTATGGAATGAGTTCAATGTAATCATAAAACGAAAAATCATATGTTTGTTTCTTCTTTTCTCTTTCCGCAGAAAATCTTGCTTCTTATTTCGGCTGTTTTAGCGGCCGCACAAGCTGATGTATCGCATTTGGCCGGTAATTCACTGGAAACAGACTATGGGTATATTTACCAGAAACCAAATAACCCGCTAGTCTATCCCGAGGAGAAATCACAACCAATTGAGCCGGTAAGAAAAAAGAATATTATTGTTTTTATGTTGTTGTTCATTTTCGATTAAAATGCTAATTGGCAGCGATTTGTTGACGGTGAACCGTGAGAATTTCTCCGGAACAATACCATAGTTTTCGAGACTATTTTGTTCATGTATGCTCAAGTCCAACATATCTGCAGATAACATTGGTAATGTGTTATTCATGCTTTTCGATTCAGTAACGCATTGAAATTACGGTAGTTCCACTTTAGATTAACACACAAGCTCAAAAAGAAACGAACAAACAAAGGGCATGTGCCTCACAATGAAAAAAAAATCGTTCTGAATAATCTCACACGTATGTTTTAAACACGTGCCCAAATACCGATAAAATATTAATATTCCAATTTTTTTTCTTGTATTGTTTTCAAACTGAACCGCCAGGTTTTTGGGAACGAAAATGCAAAAGACGCTATGTTCATTCTTTAAAAAAACTGCCACTCATTAATAAATTGCGTTAATGCGCTCCGTTTTTTTTCTCTTTTTCTTCAGGGCTAACGAGATAAACTAAAGAATATAAATGTAATTCTTTGGGCTGAACAAATGTCATTAGCTAATCATAAACCATCTACGATGTCCATTTAGTTTGATTTATTTTGGTCATATCGAATTGCCTCATTTAATTAATTAGCCACATTTTTTGTGTGTATTGCTATCGTGGTTGAGCACTTATCCGGATTAATGTTTGATTAATACACACGGCTAAATTTAGCAATGCCTTCTCGAATCACCCTCGGAAATGGCGGTCATAATTCAAAATAATCACATTTTGTGATGATTCCTTGGTGATTATGACGGGAAAAATTGCTCATATTTTTTTCCTCTTTGTTATTCCTCTTTTAAATAATTTTAGCAAGGGTACGTTTATCCGAAGCCCCAGATCGCGTTCACTCTGCCACCCAGCACATACCTGCCACCAACACAATCAACACAAAAATCACTCCCAATCACAACAACTACACAACGGCCAATTCCAAGCACATATTTGCCACCAACACCAGCTGTAAGTCACACAATTTTCAATTTTTTTCGCTGCTGTTGTTCATTCTTTTCAATAGAGTATTCGCAAACGGAACGATTCGCAAGATTTGTTCACTGAGATAAGCGAAAGTCGCAAAAAACATGCTCAGAAATAGATGAGAGTTTTCCCATGTATATAGATAATACTGAATTGTTTGTTTGCTTTTGCGTTGAATTTTTGAGATGATAATTGCAAATTCCTCCTTTTTTTGCCAACAAAAAGCTTCGAATTCGATAGAATATGCTTGATTAAAACCATTTGTTTTTGCAGCCAACATACATTTCACCTAAGCCAACTGGCTATTCCTATCCTAGGCCCCAAGTGCCTTTCACATACAGCACCCAGAAGTTACTTCCAATTACAACCACGACCACAACCCAACGACCAGTTTGCAAATCGCCATTAGTTGGTGTATATCCAAACTGTCAATTACCTCCATGTCCGCCCGGCTATAGAGGAACCTTCCCATCATGCTACAAACCAACCACTCCAAAACCAATTCCAAGCACATACCTACCACCAACAACACCAGCAGTGAGTCGCTTTTGCATTTTAACACATTTTGTTATGGGTCATTCTTTTTGAAGACGGTTTTTTTTATTGTAAAAATGTTTTTTAATACGTTTTTAAAAATTGGTAAGATAATTTCAGTTTAAATTAAAGTGTTTTTAAGAAATGCAAATTGCAAGATGGTTCAAGACGATGTCATGGATTTGTATCACAAAGAGCTTTTTTCGCCGTATATACGTTATGTGTACATAATATGTGTTTAGTTCTGATAAATGTAGTCGTTTTCTAGTTATAAAGGTCCTAATGACATTTGTATGGTGATAAGAATTTGAATATAAGACAATGAAAAATTCGATTAACAAGAAAATATTGCACATTTCAGCCAACATATATCTCACCACCTCGTACACAAAAACCCAAGGGTTATTTCTATCCGGTTCCAAAAAAACATTTCACATTACCTCCAAAAAAATCAATCCCAAGCACATACTTGCCTCCAACCACACCTGCAGTAAGTTGCAACTGCCTGAGCGGTCAAGAACTCAACGATCTTACACAATCATTCAAATTAACGTGATTTAACTGATGCACTGATGATATTCTAAGTTTGAAATCAGTCACATTACCCAAATCTGTAGCTAATACAGTATAAGTTTGAGTACATAATTCACACATCAATTTATCAGCGAAACTTTCTAATGTTTAACTCAAAACTGATGGTTTCATTCGAAGATTGTTTTATTTTCAACTAGTGTTGATTCAACTCATTGAATAATAACACAGAAAATAATGTTTTCGTGTAGAGACATAAAAATGGATTTTAATTTCATTCGATTCTCTGTAGATTGAAATTTTTGAATACCTAATAAATTTCACTCGTAACTGTAATTTCTACATACATCCACACATTTAGTGACTAAATTTAAAATTTTACAAATCAACTGGTCTTTAGAAATGTTGCTAATTTGATGTAGTTTACTAAATATTAAAATGAAAGAGCGGCGTACGATCTTTAGTAGATAGATGGTTTGCAGATTTTGTCCTAAGGAACAATTGAATGTTCAGCGCATCAAATGAGCAATCGTGTACGCTAATTTATCGTCGATAAAAATCGTCAGAGAGATTGTAACAAAATCAATTTTCCGATTAATATCGTTGATGGTTGTCATCGTACGCCCCTGGGATGGTACCTTGAATTTAACGAATCATTCTATTTATAACTATTTAAAGTCCACAATTTCCCGTTAAATACATCTTAATGCATTCACAAACATCAATAAATGCTTCGAATTCAATGAAATATTAATGAAACCAATTGTTTTTGCAGCCACCTAAGCCAACTGGCTATTCCTATCCTAGGCCTCAAGTGCCTTTCACATACAGCACCCCGAAGTCACATCCAATCACAACTACAACTCGACAACCAATTCCAAGCACATACTTGCCGCCAACACCTGCAGTAAGTTAAAGCGCTTCGACTTTTTTTTTGTAAATGTTCAATGATGATCATTGATTTATATTGACACGATCAATCTTTGTCAGAATTTCTGGCCTTCAACTATTCTTTGCCATTCAGAATGAAATTTTAAACATCACGTTCTACCGTCTTATTCTTTCTTCTTGTTAATTAAGTTTATTATGTGGAATTTCCGAAATCTTAAAATCGCCCCTGTCTCAATTGAGACAGACAAAGACGTCTGAAAAGACACAAACCCGCACATACAAAAATCATAAAATTTTGGAATACTCACAAATAAAATAATACTCCGTTTTCTTTTAGCCAACATATATCCCACCTAAGCCAACTGGCTATTCCTATCCTAGGCCCCAAGTGCCTTTCACATACAGTACCCACAAGTCACTTCCGATTACAACCACAACCACAACCCAACGACCAGTTTGCAAATCGCCATTAGTTGGTGTATATCCAAATTGTCAATTACCTCCATGTCCGCCCGGCTACAGAGGAACTTACCCATCATGCTATAAACCAACTGTTGCAGTAAGTTTTATTTTTTTTTGCATTTGAAAGATTTGAACAGCTCAGCTCACTGAAATGCAAATAGTTCAGTACGAATGATATTTTAATTTCAAGAGTGAATTATGAATTGTGAGCTCGATATAGAAGAACATGAGCCATATGACACGATGAAAGCAACAGATAGTCTTCTAAAAATTGATTCAATAACTTAGAGCAAAGAAGAGACGAATGAAGCGGCCAGTATTGAGCGATAAAGAAGTTTTTTTTGCATTTTTCTTGCCAATGGAAAGAGATAGCGATTAGATGTCTTCAGCATATTTGAAGTTCTTTCGATGTTCTAAAATAATGCTGAAAATGTCACCCAGTTGTTATATCTTTAAAGTACCGAGACAAATGAAAAGAACATTTTTTCCGCTCAATGCTGAGTTGTGTCACTTTTGCTTGCAACTTTATTTGTCTCTTTTTTGCTTAAAATTTTTGTTCCGTATTAATCATAGAAACCTCATGAGTTCAACTCTTGCAATTATTGTTCGGTTAATTGATTTTTTTTGCCGACTTTTCGTATTTGAGTAAGAATTTTGGCATTTTGGCGCTAGGTTTCAATACCCAAATGGTAAAATTCCGTATAGTTTGTGTTGAATCCGACATACTCAATATGTAAGGTCAAGGATGTTCATTTGTTCTTTAAAACGTTGGAATGTCCAAAGTGCACGATCACATAATCATGTTAGCACGCATGTCTTTATATTCTAGCATTTGAATTGAAAGATGGAAACAGCAAAAGTGATGAACACTATAGGAGTAGAGATCATTCTCTCTCTTTCTATACCAGCAAATAAAAGCATGAGAATATTCACATTCATGAAAAATATTGCACATTTCAGCCCACATATATTCTACCACCTCGTACACAAAAGCCACAAGGATATTTCTATCCGGTTCCTAAAAAGCATATCACATTACCTCCACCGAAATCAATCTCAAGCACATACTTGCCTCCAACCACACGTGCAGTAAGTTTTGACTGCCTGCACCGATCGAATCTAATTAACGATTCTTTTTTCAAACTGATGCAGTTTTAAGATTGAGATCAATAACATTGCACGTCTAATATACATGTGTTGAACCATTGGAACCAATCAGTTTCCAATTACAATTCGTTCATTAATGAACTAATAAGAATTTATGCAATTTTACGATGAAATAAGTGCTAAAATCAATTCTATTCTGAAGTAGACTCTATAATCGACAATTCTAATTCAACAATTTAATACAAACCTTCATCCTCAGCTATACCAGCTAATGGTCTCCAATTCTTTTCTGTAGACTAGACAATTCGTTAATAACATTTTTCGTTGACACGAAAAACTCAGATAGTCAAAGACATTTGAAACCATAAAAAATATTGTCTCATCTTTCGTTTGATCAACATTACTCTGTTTATCGATTCTCTGACATTCTGTGCCATTCTAAATAATCTCTGCGCCGACATAGAATAGAAACTTTAACAAATATTTTGCTATATCAAATGCGAACAACTGAACAAAATTTTAAAATAAATGCCATATTTGCAGCCAACATACATTCCACCACCAAAGCCAACTGGCTATTCCTATCCTAGGCCCCAAGTACCTTTCACATACAGCACCCAGAAGTCACTTCCAATTACGACCACGACCATAACCCAACGACCAGTTTGCAAATCGCCATTAGTTGGTGTATATCCAAACTGTCAATTACCTCCATGTCCGCCTGGCTACAGAGGAACTTACCCATCATGCTATAAACCAACCACTCCAAAACCAATTCCAACCACATACTTGCCACCAACAACACCAGCAGTAAGTGAAAATCTTCCTTTCGATTCTTTTTGAATTGTCTTCGATCTTCAATTCCATGATTTATTGAATCATTCTTGAATATCATCACGATGTCGTTTTATGGACTTCCTAAACACAATTTCAACATTCCCATTTCAAAACTAAATTTCTACTGTAAATTTTTGTGTAGCCAACATACATTCCACCACAAAAGCCAACTGGCTATTCCTATCCAAGGCCCCAAGTGCCTTTCACATACAGCACCCAGAAATCACTTCCAATCACCACCACAACTCCACGACCAATTCCAAGCACTTACTTGCCACCAGTTCCACGTACCTGCACAGCTCCAAAA